AAGAACACATTTCTATGACTGTAACTAATAACTTAATTTTCTAAGTACCAAAACAATGGTTACATACCTAGAGCCATTCCAACTATTGGACCAATAGTAATACCAATAGCAATAATAACCAATACAACTCGAAAAATGAGCGTTTTGGGTATCTCTCTCATTCTATATGTACGAACAAGTGTTGTAATTGAAGTGACTTGGAGAACAGATCTTGGTACTCGTCAAAGAGGTGTTAGAGAAATAGTATCATTACATGCATTATAACTGACTGTTGAATGTCGTCGACAACGAGCGAGATGCCTAAGTTTATCAATTTTTAAGGACTGTCGGGTAAATGGACTTGTACCTTTCTGAAGGATCCATCTTGTGATTGCATCACATTCATAAACAAAGCCATCGACCCGCTCTAACTGAATCACGATAAATTTCATATGTGATTAGACACAAAAGATCTTAATGGTTAATTTCGTCGTCTTGTGCTGTTTCGTTTTTCATGACATACAGTAATAATTGATTTTGTTTTGTACCTAAAATGGCAGACAAAAGTTTAAAGCACTTCATATTTTGTGATTTTTTTTCTTTGAAGGACAGTTTCTTGGGGATAACAAAGTAGTGATTTGTAAGATTGTAGAAAGATTAGTAAGTTTTATTACGATTCAACTTTGTAAAATAACTTCAAAGCTTTAAATTTAGTGTATGTTGTAGAGCAAATTTCATTCTTTCAAATGAGACCTCACTGAGTCCCATGTCACATATTCTTCGATCGGTACACCACTTGGAATCTAATGAAGCGCATTATCCAAAAAAAAAAATAGCTGGAAACTATCGTTCAAATTTTTTATAAAAACTAAAAGTAGTACACCGATCGAATAATATGTAACATCAGACTCAGCAAGGTTTTTTTTTGAAAGAATGAAGTCTGTTCTATAAAATATGCTAAATTCCAAGCTTTGAAGTTGGTTTTTAAAGTTGAATCGTAGTAAAATGACAGGGAAATGGAGTAGTAAAACTGATTCCTCTACAATCTTACTGAAACGAATTATTTCAACAAAAGTAAGATTTCATATTGCTCAGGTTTCAACGCTTTTTCAAATAATGTACTTAAAAGTTAGACATTAACATCAAATTTTTCTATATTTATCAATTAATATTAATTGAATAGAATTAATCATTCTTTAATAGTGAAAAATTAATAAAATATAAAAAGTGTTCTAAATTGTAGTTCGTCAAAAAAACAAATTTCCATCATCAATATTCGAGCCACATACCTTAAAAAATTTTAAATTCATAGGCTTGTAATCCATTTCGATAGTTATCGAAATCACCATTTAGTGGTCCTCGAAAAACTATCCTTTACAGAAAAAAAATCACGAAATATGAAGTACAATAAAACTTTTGTTGTCCACTTTACATGACGATAGAAAGAGGAACTGTTTTGTTTACTCTTTTCGATTGTCACGAGTGCACATGTTTCAAATGTTTGCCTTTCTTCCTAGTTACTCGTCCTCATGGAAGTTAAATTTCACATAAAAAGAAATAACGATTGGCTTCCTAAACAATGATAGAGATTCATGTATACAATCGATAAGGGTGTGGGTTTCAGTATTCTAGGTGGTACACCCACACCCACACCCTCCTCCTTTGTACAACTATGCTACTTTTATTGTAAAAGTCTATTATAGAAATTTTTAATGTAGTATTGCAAGCAATCGAATATTCAACGAAATATTGCTGAAAGGCAACAATTGTAAATAGGCATCAAATCCAATTTGATTTGATTAAATAAATGATCATGAAAATCAAACAAGTTGTTACTGCTGTTAGATTCATCTTTATTTATTTGTTATATTCAAATAATCATGTGAACGTTACACAACAATGGTTAAACTTCATGGCTGATTTAGTTTTCAACAACAAGTCACAATAGTAGAACTATTTGAATCTTAAAAATGAATTTTTCACAGTTTTCATCTACAATGAGTAGTTCCGAGTAGAAAAGTTGTCAATGTGTAAGAAATAGTTTAAAGCTTTAATTAGGTCGATTTTGAGCTTTGAAGATCATCATTTTGTATTAGGCCAATCTCGGATTCTCACATTGAACTAGTTAAATGTCGGATCGAGGAGAAAATTTTCACTAGAACTATCCGACACAAATGTGAGAATCCGAGATTGGACGCTAACATATATTTTGACTACTTTTTAAATAAATTTATTCAGATTGATCAGATACATATAACCAATCCATTTGCCTATGAACATAAGTGACCTCTAGAATGAATTTATTCATCGAAATGAATTAATTTAGAAAAAAAATTGAAAGGAGTTTTTTTTTAAAACAAATGAGTAAATTATTTCCTTTTTTGTTTTAAAATGAACTTTTTACTATATCTATCATTGATCTTACTGTAAAGCCTCTGCTGTGAAACTCATCTGTACACATCGTTCTCTTTTCTTTTGCTTATTTTTTTTTTATTCACATATAACCACTAAAAAACAATATTTGAATAAAAAAAACATGAAACGAGCTCTTATATCTTTGGTTCGTCAACGTGCACTTGCTCGAAGTGTTGAATCAGCTAAAGTAAAATTAAAGAATATTCATTAAATTCTTTATTCTTGTCCTTTTATTTAAGTATCTTGGAAGTAATAATGTTTTAACATTATCAACAACAACATCTCGATCAATATCAACATCATCAACAAATTATGCTGCTGCACAATCATCTCAAACAACACCAGAAGTATCATCAATTCTTGAACAAAAAATTCTTGGTCATCAATCAAAACAAGATCTTGAAGAAACTGGACGAGTATTAACTATTGGTGATGGTATTGCTCGTGTTTATGGTTTAAAAAATATTCAAGCCGAAGAGATGGTGGAATTTTCAAGTGGTTTAAAGGTTAATAAATTTTTGAAATTCTAAAATATATTTTTCTTTTTTTAGGGTATGGCTCTTAACTTAGAACCTGATAATGTTGGTGTTGTCGTCTTTGGTAATGATCGTTTAATTAAAGAAGGTGATATTGTAAAACGAACTGGTGCTATCGTTGATGTACCAATTGGTGATGAACTTCTTGGTCGTGTAGTTGATGCTCTTGGTAATCCAATTGATGGCAAAGTAAACAAAAAATATTTTTTTCTATATAAATATAAGTATATATTATTATTTTTGTTTTTAGGGTCCATTAAATACAAAAAAACGAGCTCGTGTTGGTATTAAAGCACCTGGTATCATTCCACGTATATCTGTACGTGAACCTATGCAAACAGGTATGAAAGCAGTCGATAGTTTAGTACCAATTGGTCGTGGTCAACGTGAATTAATTATTGGTGATCGTCAAACTGGTAAAACAGCTGTTGCTATTGATACAATTATTAATCAAAAACGTTTTAATGATGCTGGTGAAGAAAAAAAAAAACTTTATTGTATTTATGTTGCTATTGGACAAAAACGTTCAACTGTTGCACAACTTGTTAAACGTTTAACTGATGCTGGTATATATTTTTTTTTATTATTAATTATTTATTTAATATTATAATTATTTAGATGCTATGAAATATTCAGTTATTGTAGCTGCTACAGCTTCAGATGCTGCTCCATTACAATATTTAGCACCATATTCTGGTTGTGCTATGGGTGAACATTTTCGTGATACAGGTCGACATGCATTAATTATCTATGATGATCTTTCTAAACAAGTAGAATATTTAAATAAAAGCAAACTTTTTCATTTTTTTTAAATATGAAATTCTTTTTGTTTTTTGTAGGCCGTTGCTTATCGTCAAATGTCACTTCTTTTACGTCGTCCACCCGGTCGTGAAGCTTATCCAGGTGATGTTTTTTATCTTCATAGTCGTCTTCTTGAACGTGCTGCTAAAATGAATGATAGTCATGGTGGTGGTTCATTGACAGCTTTACCTATTATTGAAACTCAAGCTGGTAAATAAAATATTTTTTGTTGTTTTCATCGTAGAAGGAAACAAAAAAAAACGAGAATATATTTAATTATTTTAGGTGATGTATCTGCTTATATCCCAACAAATGTTATTTCAATTACTGATGGTCAAATCTTTTTGGAAACTGAATTATTTTATAAAGGTATTCGACCAGCTATTAATGTAGGTTTATCTGTATCACGTGTTGGTAGTGCTGCTCAGACAAAAGCTATGAAACAAGTAAAAAATTATAATTTTTTTTTTTTTTTTATTGAAAATAATAATTTTGTTTTAAAGGTTTCAGGTAAAATGAAACTTGAATTGGCTCAATATCGTGAAGTAGCAGCTTTTGCCCAATTTGGTTCAGATCTTGATGCAGCTACTCAATCATTACTTAATCGTGGTGTTCGACTTACAGAATTACTTAAACAAGGCCAATATGGTTAGTTAGAAAATCTTTTTGTTTCTCATCAATAAATTTCCTTTTCTAGTACCAATGGCTATTGAAGAACAAGTATGTGTAATTTATGCGGGTGTTCGTGGTCATTTAGATAAACTTGATCCATCAAAAATTACTAAATTTGAACAAGCATTTTTACAACATTTAAAAGGACAACATAAAGATGTACTTGAATCAGTCCGTTCAAAGAACGAAATAACTCCTGAAACGGATGCTAAACTCAAAGAAATTGTTCAAAATTTTGTTAGTTCATTCAAAGCGTAAATTAGAACAATGATTAGGACTGTGCCATTTTTAATAGTAGTGACATTCATTTTTTCTCCGAACACTCTTCTTTTTTTTGCTAAAGAAAAAAAAAACAACAACAACAATCTTAGACTTGTCATCGGAATATAATCTGTTCAAACAATATACCCGCTTGTTTGTTATTTCATTTTCTCTAGTTTAATTTGGCACATTTTTGTCTTTTTCTCTATTTTCTTCTCTCCTTCCATCATATTAAATAAAATAAAAAAAAAACAAAAAAATATATTCGATAACATTTATATTGCTTTGCAAATATTTTATTTATTGAATAAAATATAATTAGATAAATAATTAATGTAACTGCTCTGCAATTTAAAATTGAAACAAAAAAAAAAAAGAAAACTATTGCAGATATTCGAATAAATAATGAATAAAAACTTCGTGATTTTTTTTATTTTGCAAACAAAATTATATCTTTGACAAATTGAAAAAATTTCAATCTCGACACGAAGTATCTAATTATTATTTATTCAAATCCAATGTAGAATTCTACACTATAGATGTGAATAAATAAATATAGAAGCACAGGAAGGGTAATGGTAAAAAGGTAAATTTTTTTGTTTTTTTTGTGTTTTTGAATGTATGTTCATCGAACAAAGGCTTCATATTGGCAATTTGGTGGACGAAGGGTAATACCAGGTTGACCACAAAGATCTTTGGGAATCCAATCATTTGCAAAACGAAATTCAAATTTTTGAAATAAACTCACTAATATTAAAAATAATTGAATTTTTGCAATTTGTTCGCCTAAAATAAAATAAAATTTAATTATTAGATTTTATTTTTGACAAGAAAAAAAAATAAAATTTTGTTACCTGTGCATGCACGTTTTCCAACACTAAATGGCATCATAGCAGGATGATTAACATTACGTAAACGACGATTTTCATCAAGGAATCGTTCTGGTTCAAATTTTTCTGGTTCAGACCAATGTTGTTCATCTTTCATTGCTGACCACATATTAACAAGTATAAATGTATCCTTTGGAATAAAATAATTATGAAATGTAATATCTTGTGTTGTTGCTCGTGGAACTAATATTGGACCAGCACAATGACAACGCATTGATTCAAGTAAAACAGCTTCAATATAAGACATTCGACTACGATCTTTATCACATGGTGGTCGATCTTTACCAATAATATTATCGATTTCTTCATGAATATTTTTTTGTACATGTGGATGTGCAACAATATAAAAAATTGCCCAATGTAATGTATTTGATATTGTTTCTGTACCAGCAACAAATAAATCTTGAACAAGTGAATCAAGATTTTCTTTTGAAAAATAAGTACTTCGTTGTCGATGTTGATTCATTTCATCCAAATAAGCATCAACAATATTTGTTATAAATTCATTATCAAAATTAGTTTCACGTTCACCAACTAATTTTTTTATAACACGATTACAATCATGTACATTATTAAAAATATTCTTTCGAAATTTTCTTGTAAATGGTAAAAAATTAAAACATGCTATTGTTGCTGTTTGATTAAAATTTTCATTAATTTTTTCAAATAAATTATTCATATTCATTGTTTCAAAATAACGACCAAATGTAAGTGTACATATATTATTACATGCTATTTGACTTAACATATTACCAATACGAAATGGTGATGATTGTTTTTCACGAATTTTTTCAGCAACAAAACGTACTTGATCAAGACAACCATTTTCTAATGATGATCGTCGTCGACGTCCAAATCGATTAAAACTTTTAATAAGAAAATTTTTATGTTCATGAAATTCTCGACCATATGGAGCTGATATAACACCTTTACCATGTAATGTTTCATGTATCATATGAAGATATGGACGACCAGCAAATACTTCACCATGATCATGTAATGCTTCACGTATAATTGATGGTGAATTAAGAACAACAACCATTTGTGAACCAAGCTGAAGTCGAAATATGTTACCATATTTCGACATTTTCGACCAGCGATATAATGTTTCATATGGACGATAACCTAATTGAAGAAGATTACCAAAAATTGGCCATGGACGAGGACCATATGGTACTGTAGTTGAAGATTCTTTCTTTGAATTATCATTTGATTTCTAAATAAAATAAAAAAAATTAATAAAAATTTTATTTTTATTTTATATATGATAATATAACTTACTTTATGACGTATTATGCTCATGCCCAGCATAGTAATAATGGCGACCAGCACCAAGACCAACATTATTGTAAAAATTCAATGAAAGACTGATTGTTTCTAACACATATTTATATATCGAGCCGAACGAAGTAATCTTTGAACAGACTAAAATAATATTTCTTAAAAAAGAAAAAAAACCAAAACCAGACATAGACAATAAGAGAAAAAAAGAAATCAATTGATAAATAATTAATTCGAAATAGGACTAAAAAACGACTCTTTTGAAATCATACAGATTTGTTCATGTATTGAATTGACGTCAAAATATTAGATTACTATTGCTTTTTTCTTAATTAAAAAGCTATATTTGTTAACAAAAATAGATGTGTTCATTTAGCAATTTGTTTCTTTTTCTTTTATAAGTACTATAGACGATTAAATTATTTCTGTTTTATAGTATTTTGACAAAAAAAAGTAAGAAAGGTAAATGTCATTTGTCGAAAATTGTATACTGTTTAATGTACTTTTCTATGATAAATATAACGTGATGTCCATCAAATTTCTAGTACCATACTAATGATTAATTATATTGAATAGTTTTTCTTTTCTTTTTTTGTCGTTTCTCGAACATGTCTCTATTTGACCGAGTTAAAAAGATGTTGTCATTGTTCCATAAAACAAGATATAACTTAATCGGGTACAATGAATAAGTTCGCTTCTAGAAAAAGCTTTTATATAAGATGAAATTATGCAGTGATATTAAAATAGAAAGCAATCAAATCAAATTTTGTCATATTATAAGCTGTAGAACAAACAAATAATTGAATGTCAACGGTTTTTTTCCCTTTCATCTATGTTTTATTATCATTTTCTAGTCGCGTTAAGATTCTAGAATATGAGTCCCTATGAACTTACACTTTGTTTTTTTTTGTTATACATAATATTTGTTATTTTGAAAACAATAATTATTTTATCTTATATTATTAGAATTATTAAAATATTATTTAATTTCATTATGATTATATGAATATTTAAATTTATTGTATATAATCATTTATACTTACGAGGGAATCGTTCCAACTGATCCATCGCTTTTGGTTCCATATTTTGCCCATAAGTAGGGAACCTATAGACTAGAAAAAGCCTAAGAGGATATGGGCCCATACCGCGATTTGGCTGAAATATTCAAGTTTTACTCAAAATTCCCTGCAGGAGCATGATTTTCCAGCAAAATCGTATTTTCAAATTTTGGTCTGAAACTTTGCCAAAATAAAGCTCTCAATTAGACTATCTTCTGAAAAAAATTTCAGAACTTTTGGATATGGTACCACTGATATATGGGTGTTTCAAAATATTCATGCTTTATACAGTATCTATGGAAAAGCGTCTATATTTTGGAAAACTCATATCTCAGTGGTACCATATCCAAAAGTTCTGAAATTTTTTCCACAAGATAGTCTGATTCAGAGCTTTATTTTGGCAAAGTTTCAGATCAAAATTCGAAAATACGATTTTGCTGGAAAATCAGGCTCCTGCAGGGAATTTTGAGTAAAACTTGAATATTTCAGCCAAATCGCGGTATGGGCCCATATCCTCTTAGGCTTTTTCTAGTCTATAGGTTCCCTACTTATGGGCAAAATATGGAACCAAAAGCGATGGATCAGTTGGAACGGTTCCCTCGTTAGAAGAACAACAGAAACATAATTAATTATTTGATATAATTTATGTATCAATTTTGAATGATTTTTTTAATAGTATTTAATTATAATCGAATTCAATAGAACTCTTTTGTCTAACTAATTGATTAATAATTTAATATAAATAGTTGAAAAAGAAACAATTTCTTTTTTTTTTGAAAGTCATGAAATATTATGTATTTCTATTATAGAGATAATTAATTCAACTCCTACGTTTAACATTAAAATAAATTTTCTTCCGAGAAATAAAATAACACACATGTCAAGATGTTTTTAGCTTTTTGTTTTTAGTATTTGACAAAAATTCTGTTTAATATCATACATCTGTTTATTTCAAAGAAATATTTATATTTAATGACATATTTAATCAGAAAAGTTCTATAAAACTAGTACTCAACAAAAGTTAATTTGTCTACTTGATCTATTTATATAATTCGTGTATACTCTATATATTAAATGATAAAATATATAAGATTATATTCAACAAGATAAACTATGATTGAATTAAGATGAATATTAGGAAAAGACATCATAGAATTTATCAATAAAAATCATATATCTATTAAATTCAGATGATCAATAATAACTTGAATGATGTTTAGATGTTAAATGCAATATAATCATTCAAATATTTGTTTTTTTGCTTTTCTTCTAATTTCTTAAATTTAAAATAATATAAGATACTATTCATAGAAGATATTCAATGTATCCTCTCTTTATATTCAACGAAATATTATGAAACGTTTTTTTTTTTTTCTGTATCAAAATAATCAATAATTTCATGTTATTATAGGAAAAAGAAATATTGATTTCGAGTGGTTAAAAATAACAGGAAACTATTGAAAAATCATTAATGATAAAGTTAAAAATAGAACTCTTGATTTCAAATATTCTTAGTAATTAATCTTGAATTTCTTGAAGTTTTCCTTAATTTCTATTGATTTTCAATCAATAAATAGCACGTATTATTACATAGTATTAAATATCATCAGAATTTAAGTCAATAGTTTATTCAAATAAAATATCCGAATAAATATATTCAATTAGAATACTTAAATGAATAAAACTTGATTCAAATTTCGACTTCTGTTTCGCTAATATTAATATTTTTAATCATCATAATAAATTTTTAATTTTATCTCAAAAATTAATGATGTTAATATATTTTATACCATTCCGTGGAATATATCGTATAATTTATTCAAACATTAAAGAGTTTTGTTTTTTTTTTATCAATCTGAATTAGATTAATCTTGTTATATATTTGAATTGGTAAAATATAGAACTTTATATAATACTTATATAAATAACTGTTCCATTCACTTAACAAATTATCAATAATAATCTATACACATTGAGAAGAATAATCTTCACAAAATTAGATATTTGTTTATGAATGTTCTACTTAATAGAGGGGGGGGGAAGGGAACGGACTTTTCAAAATTCAACGTTTTATATTCATACAAGCAATTCGAATTATGTAGTATTTTCAATATTTTGTTCGTCTACGTCTATTTAATGAAGAAGTAAATGGTGATGTTATAGATGATGAATGAAATAATTGATGACATGATCGTTTTTTAAGTAAAGTTTTATCTCTATTTGTTTGATCACGTAATAAATTAGTTAATATTTGTGATTCATTTATAGATTTATATCGTCGTACCCAAGCACCATTAGCATTTGTTGTTGCACAACGTCCATAAAATTTTGCTTCACTATTATCATCATCAAATATTGTTGCACTATATATTCGTGTACTTTGTATACCACTACTTTTTCGTCTTACATCAGGTAAAATTGATGATTGTGTTGCTGTAGCCATTGATAATGGTGATCGAAGTTTTTCTGATCGAATTGTTGATGTATCAAGAATTGATTTTTCAGCTGGTACTAATGACATATAAATATCACCTGTATTCTTAAAAAAATAATGAATTTTTGTTATAATATATATATATAAGTTTTTTTAATATAATTACTTACTATTTTTTTTTCATATGTAACAGATGGTTTTCGTCGACTTTTTCCTTTTGGAAATAAACCGTTCATATTATATGGACGTTCATGAAGACCTAATAATGTGCTTCCATCAATATAAGTTGTTGTAACAGGTCGTTGTTTTTCAGCTATAGACCAAGCATTATATGTTGATGCCGATACTGTCGAATGATAATCAATTAAATCTCTTTGAATAACTGATGGATTTCTTTGCATACGTCGATATTGATCATAATAAAATTCATATTCAGTCATTTTTTTTTTTTATCTAGTAACTTAACTTTCAAATTACATACACACACAGCTGATTGATGTCTATAATTGTTGACAATCAAAATTTATATGTTATAAGCATGGATGCAAAAGAAAAATAAAATAAAATAAAAAGTTATAGTAACGAGCAATGGAAACGAACGAACAGAGAGAATAATGAAAGTAAAATGGAATTTAGATTTCATTTTTCTTCTTTTTTTTTTCTTCTCTCTCTCTCTCTCTGTCTTTCTTCAATCAACTTTGAACTAAAATAGAAAATAAATGAGAGTAGTCTACTTGATGTATTTTAATTTGTTTGAACTATCATCTATTTACTTATAAGAATCGTTTACATAAAGAAAATATAACAAATTTTATTTGCTATTTGTCGTATATAATTAACAATAGTATTTATTTATTTTTTTTCTACTTTCATATATATCTATATATTAGAGATATATAGGAAAAACAAAATTTTATAGATAGTTGTTATTAAAATAACTTGAATAAGCAAGATTTTTTTCTAAACATAATAAAAATTAATTATTTGTTGATGTTTGTTTTTATCCACCTTAAAAGAAAACCTTCATCTTACAGTGGCAATCATTATATTTCTTTTCATCAAATATTATTATGTTTAACATCAAGTAGAATAAAGCAAAAAAAGTAAGACGTAAAAAAAAAGAAAAATCAATTATTCAATCGGTATGGGTGCCCTACTCTCAGTTTTATGTCAAAGATAAAAATATCACAAAAAAAGAAAACTCATCTATTCAATTAATCAAATTTTTCAGTTAACTAAAATTTCAATTGTATACAATAATTAAATTAAAGATTGAATCAAGAACAACTTCTTAAAAAGATAAATTTGCTATCATAATATTTATGAAATTAAAATGAAAAATATAATATTAATAATCATAGGAAGTTTGTTTTATTCTATTTATTTTGAGTCACATTTCTTTTGAGTCGATGATCGAATGTCAACAACGTCTGACATTATTTATAGCATAAAGAGTAAAGAAATAGATCCTAATTTTTATTTCTATGATTTAACACTTTTAGATTGCATTTTGAATCATGTATTTAAAAAAAAAAAATAAACTCTGTAGAAAAATTTTAAATAATAAATTCATATTCAAATTATTGATAGGATGATATATATATACATATATTTGTCATTTATACTTTTTCTATTAATCTATCAATAATCATAGTTGTAAAAAGACTTTGCTGACTATCTAGAAATTTAATTCATATCTATTTCAACAAAATTTATTGAAAGAAAAAAAAAATTCAGTTAAGAAAACATAAAACTATATGATAGGTGCAATGAATTATTGAACAAGATAAGTAGAATTTAATTCATTCAGTCGTTTCTTCCTGTAAAAATAGAAAATAAAATTATTTTAATATACAAAAAAAAATATAATAATAAAATATTCATACGCTTCTTGACAAAATGTTTCAGATGAAATACGATCTTTATCTTTGCCAGTTGGTGATGTATTGTATTTTGTAATACCAAGAGCTTCCATCGCTATAAAAAAATATAAATAAATAAAATGAATATATTTGAAAGACAATTAATATTACTAGATGCATATTGTGAATATGTAATATAACCAAGTCCAACAGGATCAAGCATACGAAAAGCAGATGTTAAATCTGTATCTTGAACAAGTGCTGAAAATGCAAGACCAGTTGCTCGAGCTTTTTTTAATTGTTCAAGATAATCAATCATGAATGCTTTTGGATCATCTAGACATTTGCAAATATAATAATGACATGTTTTGTTGTTTTAAAAAAAAAAAACTTATTCACCGGGTTTATTATAAACTAAAGATGCTGAAAGATTATGAAAAAGTTCGGGAATACGATGTATTTGAAGATAATCAGTTGCTGTTTCTTCTATTGGATTAGCAAGCGGTGCACTTACATGATTATCCATCTGAAAAGAAAAGTAAAAGATCAAAATTGATTACAACTTGACTTTTTTTTTGATTATGATAAGCTTAGTTCACTAATTCTTTCTACTCTTAAAAGGGAGCATACTCAATTCTTAATTACCGATCCAAGTATCATTGTACCCATAAGTAGGACTCACGAGGGAACATTCCCAACTGTCACATCGCTTTTGAGTCGAGCGTATGCACATCATGTAGGCTCTAATCATCTATGAATACTCTGAAAAAAGCTCGTGCTGCTAGCTTATTACTATCAAGATACTGCATTGTTACTGTATGTTTAAACAGAAAGCCGTTGGTCCCCTCAGGAACACTAGAAAAACCGAGTTTCGAATTTTAACTTGAAACTTTGCATAGAGATAGGCCTCAATGAAAATAGTTTATTGTGAAAGTTTCAGATCTTTTCTTTGTTCCTAGTCTGAAATAAGAATATCGAAATCTGTTGGTGTATATCAGCATTTTTACCATAGCTGTATCTTAGGATAGGAACAATGAAAAGATCTGAAATTTTCACAATAAACTATTTTTATTGAGGCCTATCTCTATGCAAAGTTTCAAGTCAAAGTTCGAAACTCAGTTTTCCTAGTGTTTCTGAGGGGGACCACGGCTTTTTTTCTTAAACATGCAGTAAAAATGCAACATCTCGCTAGTCATAAGCTAGCAGCACGAACTTTTTTCAGAGTATTCATAGATCATTAGAGCCTACATGAGGCGCATACGCTCGACTCAAAGGCAATGTGATAGTTGGGAATGTTCCCTCGTCACTGGAACCAGGAAAATCCTAAAATATCCATCCCCATACATCCCCTTCCTTCTGAAATGATGACTGATTTACCAGGTTGTGGCTTATGATAAGGTATTCACAGAAAAATCAAAGAGAAGAAATTTTCATCTGAAATTTTGTTTATGAATAGGTTATATGATCTTTAGAATATTTTGGAAGGTTTAGCTAAAATGGATGATGAATATTCAATATCTCAAAAAGACATCATTCGTTTTGGCTAAAACTTCGAGAATGTTCTAAAGATCATATAACCTATTCATGAGTAAAATTTCAGATGAAAATTCCTTCTCTTTGAGTACCTTGTCATAAGACTGAACCTGATTATGAGCAAAATGTCACTTCGATCGATGATTTACAAATGGATACGTTTCTTCGTAAGACTATAGCATATTTGGAAACATATTCATTTATTAGTTAATTGTTATGTTCAATAATGAGTTATTTGCGTTTCAATTACAATAAAAAAGAAAATAAATAATCTACCTTGATATAAATTGTTTAAAGAAATTCTTTTATATACTCATATAATATCTAAAATAGAATACAATAAGTAAATTGAAGAAAAAGTACAGAACATTATAAATATGACATTTATTCATAATAATTTATTTTGTTTTTTTTGTTTTTAATATGAATATATTTTACATTTGTTTATTTCTTTATCTGGACATTCACGAAGTTTATCAAAATAATAAAAAAATCCATCTTTTCGACGTTGTAATTTTTTAACAAAACCACTATCAGGCCATATATCAATCTATAGATATATTATTTCATAATGAATAATAGACTTTTCAAAAAAAAAACTAACACATACTTCTGCTACTTGACGAATACGTTTATATTCCAGTTCATCTCTATAACCAGCTAATTGAAAACGATATGCATTTTCAACTTCTTTTGACCAATGTGTTGGACGAATTAATGATTTAGGTTCGAGTACTACCAAAGCTGATGCTGCCATTTTAATAAAATATATAATTGTTTATTAGATCAGAGAGAGAAATTCTATTCGAGATCAATTATATTAAAAACAATTTATAAACAGAAAAAACTCAACGACATCATATATGTTGTAAGCATAGAAATACCTCTTTTATTGTTCACTGTATAAAAATTCTTTTCAAACATAGATGGCGTATAAAGTTTAGATCAATATCTGAATTAAAATTAACATAAGAAAAGTGAAAATAAATTCGTTTGTCTTCTTCAAACATTATCTTGAAAATCGTAAGAGAAGAAATTTATTGCAACACACATGATTATTTATTTTTAGAATGTATTTTAAAAAAGAAAAACTTATTTAAGTATAAACAAAAGTCAAATGTTTAAAGTCCAAAACAAGTTCTAGCATAATTAATTTCATTTTTTAATTCAGATGAAACATCATTTGAATTAAATAGATCAATAGTTGAAAGAAAATTTTCTGTTCGAATTGCATAAAGAAATATTGTTGTTAAACCTCGTTCAATTTGACTTTTTATATCATTATCATCAATTATTGTTGAAAAACCACCAAATAAATATATTGATTTATCTTGTTTTATCATTAAATAATTTTCAATATTCATTTGTTCAAGTATTTGATAAAGTTTTCGATTAATATCTTTTTCAAATAATTCAATAAAAGATCCTAAAGCACATTTAGTTGGTATTGCATATACATGAACATGTGATCGTGTAACACGAGCACAAGGTTTTTGACATTCTATATCATCAATTTTAATAGAATTATGAATATTTTCTGGTATCAATAATGGATATAATTCAAAAAAATTTCTACAATTACATTCTTGTATACATTTAGAATTCATTACAGCATTTAAACGATATTTTTGCATTATATCAAATGTCCATTTTGTTATTAATTGTACAACATTAAATGTTATTGATTGTAAAATAGTTATAATTATTGTTTCAATTGATGAATTTAAATCAATAATTGAAAGAAGTTTATTATTAATAAATAATGAAAGACTTTCTTCTGGTGAACAAAATAATTTATTAATTGATAAATTTTGTTCATCAGTTTCATTACAATTATTCATATTACATTGTATAGAAAAATCATTTGACCATTTCGATATTAAATAAAAACCACGAGATTTTCCTGTTGTTGAATCAATTGTACACATTGATTGCCAAAGTAATTCAATAGATATCCAATGTGATGGATATTTAAATCTTGCAACATCAAGTATAAGTACAAGATCTTCTTGTAAATGATATCCAGCTATTGGTGAAAAATGTCCTGTACCTGTTTGTTGAAGTGTACTACGATTATAACAACATACAAGACGAATATCATCTAAACGACGGGTACAAGCAACAAGTATAGCTGAACGAAATTGTTCAAGTGTTGTATTTGAAGCAAGATATGGAATTATTGAAGCACCATTACATTCAGTTAGATAAAGAAATTCTTCAAATGTAATACCTTGTTCTAAAATATTTTCTAATGGATTATCTTTTGATTTACGTTTATCACATGTACGTAATGTATTTTCATCAAAAAAACGCCAATTACCTTTCCATATATGACCAGGATCAATATTTAAACTATTTAATACTTTAAAAAAAAACATATGAAATTTATTTTTTTTATATGTATATACTAACCCATTGAAAGTGTTCCAGGACCACAATATGAAGGTTCAGCTTGTGTATGAAATGTTTCTGCTAAACTAAAATATCCATGTAAACCATCAGTAAGAAGTGCTTCACGAAATAAACGTTTTCCTTTATCCGAATTGAAAGGTATAGCAATATCAGGTAATGGACGACGATGCCAACCAGGTATACATCGTGTTGTTACATTACCATACGGTTGTTCGATAGTTGTAATAGAACTACAACTTTGTGATGTTGCCATATGTTACTAGAAAAAAAGCAAAAACAAAATAAACAGAAAATAGAATCTACTCCTAAGTTCGAACTAAAAAACTTTTAGTTCCTAGCAGAGAAAATACAGTCAAGATCCTAATGATTCATCGATTTGGAAAGAAGCTACACATAAGAATATATATTTTTTTTAATATTGACATTCTAAGTCATTAAAAAAAGGATTAGAATTTTTCTTTCAAGGGCTTTAATTATATTTCCGAGATCATCATTGATAACTGGCGACAAGATCGTAATGATGTCTATTTTGAACCAATAAAAACTTTGCATCAAAAACCGCCTATACTCTATTGATCTGACCACAGCATGATTGAGCTGGTTTTCTCACATGAACGATTGGATAAATCAATCTCTCCAACCAACATTCATTCTAGCATATCTATCCTTTTCTCATTGGATCAATTCTTTCCAATAAAACTTTGAGTATATCTATATTATATTTTAAATTGTATGATATTCATTATTTCAGAAAATGTCGTCTTTAGAATTTCCCGATGTACTTTATCCAGAATATTTAACTTGTAGTGATCAACCACATGAAATCTTACTTGATCAATGGCCTTTAACAACTATGGTTAATTAATTTAAAATAAAATTTTTTTATAAAAGATTTTTTTTTTCCTTTTGACATTTTAGGATTTAACATTAGATAAAAATTTTGTTATGCAAAAAATAGCTTCATCACAACATACATCTACTATTCGAGCAACTACACCACCATTTACTTATTCAAGTAATAATTTTTTTGATGTCTTATATATATTAAAACTATATTTATAAAAATTTAGTTGCATCAGATGATTTAACTCATATGAATAAATATACATTGTCGACAGTAAATGTTAACGAGTATAATTATCTTATTCATAAATATTTAATTAATTTTCATTTATAGAAATATAAAAATAATTCAACTCATCTTATTACTAAACAAAATCATCTTATATATGTTACAAAAAAAAATCAATTGAGTAAAAAAAAAACAAAAACATACAATTAATTATTTTCATGATTTTATTTTTCTATGTTTATTTTGAGATATACAATCATTATCAAATAATATCTATGATGATATTTGGTCAAATACAATTGAACATTTATCTACATTAGAACAACGAAAATATATTATACAATCATTAACTTCTATTAAATTATTAGATTGTACCGAAGAAAATGAACAAATATTAAATATTGCTCTTGCTGATCAAGTATTTCGAAAAATACAAAAAAAAAAATTCAATCTTTTTTTTTTGTTTATTATTCATAGAAAGGTTTATCATTTTATTCATATAATCCAACAACAATAACATCAACATTAACTTCACATATTAAAACACCTGAACATACATCAATATTATCTTTATCTTTTAATCCATATATAACATCAAATGCTATAATAATTGATAAAAATTATCGAATATATTTACTTGATGATGGTATATTTACTTATCTTCATCAACAAATTGATGAAAAAATTCATTCATTAGATATTTCTCGAGAAATATACCTTGATTGGGATGCTTCACCATTTTTATATACAATAGCTGATAGTCATAATGGTTCTTGTCATTTATTTGATATACGTTTACATAATGAATCATTTAAAGAACTTTTTACTATTAGTAATAATCATTCATATTTAAATAAAACAGAAATTATTCGTGGTTATGAAACAAGTGTAATAAATTCTTATCAACATATATTTATTACAGATTATTCATTAATTATAATCGATTCACGAATGCCAAATAGATCAGTAAATAATCGATACACAAAAAAAAAAAAAATTAATTAAAATATTATATCGAATGTCCCAAGAGTTTTGCGACATTTATCTCGACTTGAAAAAATGATAAAATTTTGATTTGTTTTTTCTTAAAAGATGCGCCATGAAAAGTTCTGTATAAAGAAATCTCTATTAACTGGTTCTGATAGTTTTCCGATGCTTAAGGGTACCCCCCCCCTCTTTTTCAATCAAAAACTCGATTTTGAGTTGAGCATAAGGTACCATAGCCTCAAGTGTTGTGTACAATTAAACACATTAAGCGGCTCTAAATACTTTACTATTACAGGGTTACTGAATTAAACAAATTCTTTTCTTTTTCTTAGCGTATCGCAAAACCATGATTTTCTCGAACTTGGTTGCTTACGATCCCACTCTAACTTTGTCCGATCGGACTGAAATTTTTACCACTAATATTTGAGAGTATTCTCCAGAGATGGAATCGAGTGTTTTCATTTTTGACATTCCTATCCGAAGTTACAGGGGTCTGAAAGGCAAGACCTAAGTGTCATTTCGAGATCTTGACGTATTTTTCTTATAAAAAAAAAAGTGAGATTTTTGAAATAGCTCGAATTTACCTCTGGGGAATAGTCTTGAGTATCTATAAAAAAAATTTCAGCTCAATCGAACAAATTTTGAGAGGGGTCGTAATGTACCAGAATGTAGACCTTTGAAAGACTGGAGTTTCCGAGAAAACCCCATATAAACTTAATCCAATTTTTTTTTCCTCGAACACATATCTCGTTATTTTTGATGCTCTATCTGTACTCAAAAATTTGAGCTTGATTGGTTGTACCATCTTCGAGAACCAGAAAGTGTCAAAAAAGAGGGAGGGGGTACCCTTAATGCAAACAACCTACATAGTGGCGTTATGTCCCACCGTATTGAGCATTGTAAAAATGTTTGAACGACCTTTTCGTTTTGCAATAGGGATTTGTTCATATAGATTGTGGAAAAGCCAACGTAGCAAGTCAATAGGAATTTGTTTACACGAATTTTGTAAGGCTTTTCATGGTGCAACAAAAAACATCAAGATTTTATCATTTCAAGTCGAGATAAATGTGAAAGAAAAAAATGTCACAAAACTCTTGAGACATCCGGTATTTATTGTTTTTTTTTCTCAAAGGCTATACATTCATATCATGAATTATTACGACCACCAACATCATTTACACAAATTAAATCAAATAATCAACATATTATTTTTATTAATGATGAATATAATACAAATGTACTTGAATATAATACTGATATACATCGTCGTTTAATACAAATAAATCCTTGTTGGGAACTTTGTCCTATATCAAATAGTCGAATGTATTTAATAAATAATAATAAATATAAGAATAAAGAATTATTATTTGCTAAATCAATGTATTTTGATATTCCTATACGAGATATGGTTGCTGTATCTAATTCAATAAATTCAAAATCTTTTCTTCTTTTTCAAGTAAAAAAAAATTTTTGTTTTTTTTCTATATAATTAAAATAATCTTTTATATTTTATAGTTAAACAGTGCTGGTAATATACATGTACAACTTTTTGATGAATGTAATGATAAAAATGAAGAAAAAACATGGAATCCTGATCCAGATAATTTATTAAAACAACCACCTGATTGTTTTCAACAAGCAAATAATTATTGGTCAACAAAGTTCGTTTATTTTTGTTTGAATTTTTATTAAAATAGTTATGATTTAATTAGATTTTTATCATTATTTCAATGTCATGATTGTTTAACATATAATGTTGAACCAACAAATTTTACTATTTTAACACCATTACGTGCAATAACACAAACATCATTACGTGATTTTCCAACATTTAAAAATGAACATAAATCTGCAGAAAAAATAATATCACGTAAATTTAAAAATAAAAAAAAACAAAAAAAATAATAATATATGTATATATTATTTTTAAGCTGAACTTTTTGAATGTCCAACATGTAGATGTATGCCAAATCTTAAAACAAAAGGACAATTATCTCGTGCAAAAAATTGGATTCAAGGTATTAATCATATAGAAAACAACAAAAAAAAAACAATGAATTTTTTTATTCGAATTTAATTCTTTCATAGATATGAAATCACAATTAGATGATGTACAACAAGAATTACCTGTATGTTAAATTAAATATTTTGTTTGTTTTTTTTTTTCTAATTATATCATTAAAAGGATACAACACAAACAACAACATTTAATTGGAGACAGATATTTAATTATGATGAATTGAATGAAGCAAATGAAGATTCAACATTATGGGATGAAATTCATCGGCCATGGCTTCCATCAAAAAATAGTATTAAAGATGAATCATTTCAGTCATCATTAGAATGATATATATATATATATTTTTTTTTTGTATATCAATTATTTGTTAATTTATTTTGTTTAATAAAATGTCAATGTTGAATGTTTTATTTTCTTGAACAGATCAATGATATTTGATTGATTTATTTGAATTTCAGTCAGGTTCTTTTTCTTTTGTCAAAGAAGAATTAAGTTAGTAATAAAAGTTCATTGTCATCTTTACACGATATTATTTGATGTATTTGATACTACAATCCAATAATGATTTTTTAACGATGATCTGACCCGGAGAGTGTGACACTTCTCTATAATTGGAAATTTTTATTATTGTTATTAGTCAAAAGACTGGAAAATAAATAAACACTGGAGATTTGCTAACTTCTTTTAAAATATACAGATATAAATAATGTTTTTCTTCAATGTGCTATAAAGTAAATGTAGAAATTTTACTACAAAAATATAAAGAATATTTTCATCAAAATGACTATAAATTTTCGTATTAAGAAATCATTTTAGAATTGTTTTATGATTATTTGAATATTTGATACATTAACTGGATATAACTAGTAGTAAAATAGAAGGACAACTTGATTAGACTAGCAAAAATCTAAAAGAATTTTGCATATATCTTTATTTGTACGCTGAACAGTCAAAAAGTAGAGTGTTCGCTGTAATATTTTACTCATAGATAGATCTACTAATGTATAAAATATCGTTATTTTTTTTGGAAGATTCAATATCTCAAAAGACTTTTCAGCGAATATCAAAAACTGGACTGAAAATCCAGGAAAACAATTATACCTTTGCTTCAAATCTCGCTAATGGGAACGTTTCCAACTGTCACATAGCTTTTGAGTCGAGTGTATGCGCATCATGTAGGCTCTAATCATCTATGAATACTCTGAAAAAAGTTCATGCTGCTAGCTTAAAGACTACCGAGATATTGCATTTTTACTGTATGTTTAAACAGAAAGTCGTGGTCCCCCTCAGGAACACTAAAAAAACTGAGTTTCGAATTTCAACTTGAAACTTGGCATAGAGATAGGCCTCAATGCAAATAGTTTATTGTGAAAGTTTCAAATCTTTTGATTGCTCCTAGTCTGAAATAAGAATATCGGAATCTGCTGGTGTATATCAGCGATTTTACCATAGCTGTATCTTAGGATAGAAACAATGAAAACATTTGAAACTTTCACAATAAACTATTTTTATTGAGGCCTATCTCTATGCAAAGTTTCAAGTCGAAGTTCAAAACTCAGTTTTCCTAGTGTTTCTGAGGGGGACCACGACTTTTTTTCTTAAACATACAGTAAAAATGCAATATCTCGGTAGTCATAAGCTAGCAACATGAACTTTTTTCATAGTATTCATAGATCGTTAGAGCTTACATGAGGCGCATATGCTCGACTCAAAAGCAATAATATTCTCTCGTAAGACGTTCTTATAGGCTGTTGTCTAAGAACTGTCAGAAGTCAGCGCTTAACCAAAGCCATTTTAGAAAAATGCGAAAGTTTTCACAAATTTTTTTTATCTATTAATACATATGTTAGACATTTTTTGACTAATAACTTTCTTACAAAATCAAATGGAGACATCAATTTTGAAGAACGTATTTTACTAAAACTTTTCTTGACAAAAATATAATCTACAGAAATAATTTACTAAAATACAATATATATAATAATAAATAACAATCGAATATTATGTTCTGATAATACAAAATTAAACATTTCATATTTCAGTCAATCAATGACTGCTATATCATATATTTATTCGATAAAAAAACAAAAAAAAAAAACTAACAACCTCAATCAAAGAGATAAAATTTGAACAAAATATCAAACAAGAAAAAGAGAACATACATATACGTCAAGCACTATATTGATACACATATCAACAGATAAAAATTGAATAATCAAAATTGATAAACCTAAAAAAACTGTTCAAAATTACAAAAGAATTTTCTCATGTGAAATATGACAAAAGACTACTATATAAATAAAAATGCCAATATTAATATTTATTCATCGATTGTTATTACAAATAAACTGGATCATTTTGAGCTCGACTACTGATGGTCGTAACTAAACAAAAAAAAAACAATAATTTAAAATAGATTATGTGTTTTCTTTTTTTTTTGACGAGGATTTAATTAGATTTTTAATATTACTTGATTCTTCTTTTATTTGAACAAAAGGTAAACTTGAATTAAGTGGAATAGCATGTCTTATTGAAAATTCATAACCATCTATATCAATAACTAATATATCTAATGTTCGTTGTTCTTTACTTATATTAATTATTTCATTAATTTTATTCATTGTTAAATATTTTGTATCATGACCATTTAATTCAAGTACAATATCATTTTCTTTTATATCGTAAACATTAGCTATTGAACCTTGATCAATAGATTGAATAAATAAAAATCTATCACGTTTTAATGTAATACCAAAATTATGTTGAAAATTATATAATTTTAATTTACATAAACGTGGTCTTATTTGATCATATTGTGATAGTTCATAATTAAATATATTTGTTTCTAAATAACCACCATTTCGTTTTAATACTCTATAAGCTGAATCTGTTAATACAATAAGTGTAACTTGACCATTTTCTTGAAATGTTCGATTAATTGTATCAATTATATCATTAAATGAACGAAAACTTTGAATATTTTGTGATTCAATATAGATTACATGATCACCTTCAGTTAAACCACTATAAACAAGAATAATAATATGAAAATTTAAAAAAATTAAAAATTGTAATACCTTCGTTTAGCTGGACTATTTGGAGATACTTCAACAACAATAGGTGTATCATAATTTTGTCGTTCAGTTAATCGAAAACCACATCCATGATAAGATGAATCTCGAAGAAGTACACATTTACCTAAAATAAATCATATTTATAACTTTTTTTTTTTTAGTTTGTAATTAAAATATTTCTTACGTTGCCATGGATCTTTTGGTTCAAATAATCGATCACTAAAATCATTTGTAGTAGATAATCGAACATGTTTATTATCTTCATCATAAGGATGTAACATTGATTGATATGTACCTCTTGATGTTAGTGGTTTTCCATGTTCATTTATGGATTGAAAATTACTACTACTTCGATAAAAAGCATCATCATTTAAAGCATCTAACGATCGAGCTGAACGTCTTGTTAATGGTTTTACACTATATGGTGCAATAAGTAATCGTAAATCACCAGTTTCTTGAAAAATATTTCTAATTAAAGCATTCACAACTATAAAAAAAAAAAAGATCAATTAAAAACAATGTTTTTTTTGTGTACTCAAAAAGTGAGTACACTCTAGAATCGGTCAGTATGTCCGTCCGGCCGTTAACACGATAACTTTTGAAAGGAGAGTCCAATCGCGATGAAATTTTCTACACAGTTCAGTCTTAACAATGTCTCGGTCGAGTTCGAAGATGAGAAGGATCCGTCAAGAAATGGCTGAGTTATCGAAAAAATTGTGATTTTTGACCAGACCATCCCTGAGGGGGGGTACGGGGATTTTTCGAAAAATAATTTTTTGCTCATAATTATTCACAAAATACATAAATCGACTCAGTTTTTAACGCTGATTCTGAATCTGATATTAGTTTTGAACTGAATCATACTTTTGTGTACTCAAAAAGTGAGTACACTATAGAATAGTCAGTGTGTCCGTCCGTCCGGTTGGCTGTTTACATGATAACTATTGACAGCAGAGTCAGATTGCGATGAAACTTTCTACACAGCTTAGTCTTGACAATGTCTCGGTCGAGTTCGAAGATAAGAAGGACCGGCCGAGCCGTTCCTGAGTTATTGCAAAAATACCCATTTTTCCCTATAGCTTTCTGTGGAAAAATGGACCCATCGCGACTTTCGTAAAAGACTTTTCCTATCATAGTCAATTAAAACCCCAACTATTATATACCATTCGATAGAGAATTTCAAGAACTACAAAATGATATATAAAACATAAAGAAACAAGAAGGTTGACTTACCAATGACAAGGATAATTAAAGAGAACTAGGTTATATTTTGGTCCACGATCTAATTGATCCACAAATAGAGCTTTATCTTCCGGTCACACTGATGATACTTCGAGGTTTTCAGGTATGGAGAACTCGAATGTGTACTGCACTTCCATCGAAATACTATTAGTTGTGCAGTGACCAATAGAAATGAAGTTATAGGAAAAACGACTTTCTTAGGGTAAATCAAGGGAAAGAGTTCAAACTTGACCTGTATTCGGTCCCATGCCCTATTGGTTTGGCAACGCGCAATAGAAATCAACATTTTAAATGGTAGATTTCACAGTATAATTTTGATACTCAGATAGTCTAGGATGATTGATTTGTATGAGTCACTTTTTGAAGTACACATAACTCTCGGATTTAAATCCGAAGTTTCCGCATTTATTATAATTTATTTTCATAATATTGATCACATAAATAATCTAGGCTAGGTCGAACAAGTACGGTCGCAAAACGACCATATACGGAGAAATACGACTAAATACATGTCCCAGTATTATGATCACAAATTTCCGTGTCGTATACGAAGAAATATACAGCCGTTTACGACCCAGGTCGACAAATACGGAGGCCATATACGACCGTATACGCCCACGATACGACCGTATTTCTCCGTCGTACACGAGGCCGTATTACGATCGTATACGAAGACAGTTTGCGAGCGTATTTTTCCCCGTAAATCACCGTATTTCTTCGTATACGGTCACGGAGATATACGATCGTAATACGGCCTCATGTAAATTGTCGTATTTCTCCGTATATGGACTTTGTAAACCTCATCTTGGGAGCTTCTGATTGTCTTCGTTTTGTTAACTAGTAGATAAAACTCATCAAGTTTGATTCAACAAAATTATGCAAAGATATGATTAGAAAACAAGGTTTAAAGGATATGAACATTAATTACAATTTGATAGGATATTGATTTTTTCCTAGAATTTTTGCTAACATAGAGATTTCGACTATTGTTATCACTATGAAAATCATCCTCTGATAAGACTTAAGTAGGTCTATTGTTTTGCATAATTTAATTATACTGAATGTTTTTTACCCTGAATTGATTTGTCTAATACATATTCATCATTAAGTCCAATTAAACGATCATTCTCATTTAAACCAGAACGAGCTAAATAATAATAATAATAAACAAGAAAACTAATAAGAAAAACAAAATTTTAATATTCTACCTGCTGGTGAATTTGGTTGAATGTTATGAATAATATGTTTATTATCACTTAGTTTTACTTCAAAACCCATTACTTGATAAGGTTCGCCTTGTACACGACACAAACGAAGTAGACGTTTATCAGATACAATATCAACTGTTCCACGTGATAAATGTTCCTGTGAAGAAAATAATGATGGCACTACCTTTGGATGCTTGTCTACACGACTATATGGATAATTAGATATTGGATCATAACCAGCTTAAAAGAAAACCAATTCATTTTTGTTTTTATATATAGGGCACGATCAATCGCCCGGATGCCTCATAGAACATAATATTACCTCAGGGAAGAGTATACAATGAATTTTATACCAAATGAAAGCTCGTCAAAAATGGGATTTATTGATACGAAATAGTAAGGGTTTTATGAACTTTTTATTGTCAAACTTAAGAAATTTTGAGAAATTTCATACATTTTTGGCATAGAAAACTAAGATGTAAAATAATTCAAAAATTGAATAAAAATTTTTTTTCTTGAATATTTTTACACGATTCGATAGAGCTCGTCGAGCTCTACAAAACTATATTATCTTTAAAAAAATGGCGTAAAAAACTTCAATACATGCAGTTTTGTACAGCTCAACGAGCTCCATTGAATCGTATAAAAATATTTCAGAAAAAAATTTTTACTCGATTTTTAAATTACTGGCATCTTAGTTTTCTATGCCGGAAAATGTATGAAATTTCTCAAAATTTCTTAAGTTTGACAATAAAAAGTTTACAAAACCTTTACTATTTCGTATCAACCAATCCCATTTTTGACGAGCTTTCATTTGGTATAAAATTCATTATATACTCTTCTCTGAAGTAATATTATTTTCTATGAGGCATCCCCGGGCGGTTGATCGCGCTCATATATATTTTATTAATATTTAGAATTTTACTAGCATATGTTTTTCTTATTTTTTGTGGTCCACTTGGAGTATTGTCATTAGATCTAGGATATCCAGATAATCGTGTACTATTTGTATCATTCGGTGTAACCATAGGTGGAGGATCAGGTGTCCTATATCTAAAAATGATAGAAATATTTCATATTTATTTTTGAAATGTTTTTTTTTTTTTTTTTGAGACTCTTCTCACAATAGATTTATCATTTAGGATGATTGATGTTAGCTAAAATTTTCAGAAATGAATGACTCTGATAAGAACTTCAGTCTGATATATCAAACTAGACAAAACTTTTTGGTTTAGTTATAGTCAAGAGAGAAAAAGCGAGACCCCAAAGTTGGAGTCTAGCTTAAGTCTAGTGAGTACGTACTCCAGCTGTACTCCGGTGTACCGAGAGTCTCGCTTTTTCTCCCTTGGTTATAGTCCATTTATGGTCTTTAGGAAAAGTCTTACATATAATAGTTTCAAATTAAAGACAATATCTGTGTATAGTTTTGATGCGATATAGACTTTTATAATTATTCCAGTACATTTGATGTTAAAAAAAGTGAAAAAATCTCGGTTTTCTAATTACAAAAATGAATTATAAAATTTTGATACTATTGGTTATATCTTGAATTGGATAGAAAGAAAATGAGTTTTTCTGATTGTTGAAAAAAAAACAAACATGTAAATAAGTTTAGACATGAATTTTTTCATTGAAATTCAAAAAAGTTAAAACATATGAAAATGAAATATTTATAATATTATATTTAAATAAGATTTTGGTTAAAAAAGCATGTAACAAATAATATAAACTAGTACCATCAATCGTACTGAAATTATAAAAGAATTGTTTATTCATTTCTCAAAACTAAGAAAACTTTAATCAAAAACATGATAGTTAAAGTCAAAATTTCTATCGAAAGATTATTCAAATTTGACTTCTTTTTTTAAGAAAAGTTATTCTTCGAGAGGGAATTTTGTTTTTTTCGATTAAAAAATATTTTCTCCGAGGGACAGAGAAGTCCCTTAAGGCCCCCCTCAAAAATCGATCTCAGCCCAGAAACATTCAAATGACATGAAAATTTCAGGATATGTTGGGACTGGTGAGACATGGCTATGGACAAATTTTCAGCCCTATAGCACGATGTTTAACCGAGATATGCACCAAACAAAGGCCAAAAATAGCTCTTTAGTATCTCCAAGCTTTCTCTGTGGGTTCTAGACATTTGATTTTTTTTGTTTGAAAGAACATGTCAGAATGCAGCGACTCTCGTGGCCCTTTTTTTTTTAAAGTCTTACTTTTTAAGGGGACAAAATCAGAGCGAACGTTCAATGACTCAAAAAACCTCTCTAAAAATTGCGCTGCTCCGATAGAGATGTTATCTTCTATGATAATAAAAAAGCTTATTTTAAAAAAAGGGCCACGAGAGTCGCTAGTCCTGTACATAAGCTTTCAAACAAAAAACAATATATTTGGCTTTATCTCTTACTATGATGGAGATAGGTCGTTGAACCCACGTTCTGAGATAAACGAAAAACGATTTTCGGTTTTTTGTAAAAACGGCCTGTTTTTCGAATAGGAGGTGATGAAAACCTACAAAATTTTTTGGGAAAAAAGGAGGTGCCGAGTAAAAATTTTTATCGTATATCAAAGAGCAGATCACGGGCTATCTCCTTATGCATTTTTCTCAATTTCGATAATTCTGACGAAAAGTGACTTTTTTGAGACAGGGTAGCTTTAATTTACCGAACAACATTGATTTCATTTGGAAATGGAATTATACCATATTGACGATGTTTGTACCATTGATAACCTTTTTCATCAATAAGCAATAGTTCAATCTTTTGTTTTTTTTTATATGTTTCACGTATAAGATCTTGAACATATTGATAATTTTCTTTTTCAATATTGACACCATCTACTTCAATTATATAATCATCATTGTAAACATTTGTACGAGCAGCTGGTGAATCTTTTTCAAGTTGTTGTATTTGATATCCACCCTTTCTATAAGATGATTGAATAATTTTAAAACCAAGTTGTTGATATTGTGGCCAAGACTAAATTTTTGTAGAAAAATGAAATTAAATTCTAAAATATATATATAAAAAAAAAAAAAGAAACTTACTCGAATAGTACAATGACGTAATTTTGGATAATCTTCGTTGATATTACTTGTGGAAGTTGAAGTAGAACTTGTAGAAAATGATGATTTTCGTTGATCAGTATCATCAAGTGATGTTTGACTTCGATGTAAATCTTCATCAATAATTTCTAAATCTAATGAATCGTCATTTTCATATGCTCTTTTACATGCAGCACGATAAAATTGTTTAAATTCAGTTGCATTCATATGTTGAACATTTTGATTATTAATAGCTATTATATTATGACCAACACGAAGACCTTAAAAAAAAATATAAAAATATGATTTAAAAATTCATAGAAAATTTTTTTTTTATATTTTTATTGACCTTGTTCTTCAGCAGGTGACTTTTGTGTAATTTTAGTAATTTTATGTTTATTACCATTGATTTCCGTTGAATGTATATGAATACCAAAATCTGGAAAATTTTTATTAGGTCGAAGTTCATATCTTTGTCTATTTAAGTTTTGTGTTTCTAATGGATTATATTTAAGTAAATTCTTTATACCATATGTTGATGATTTCTGAACAGGTACTGGTGTAATAGTAGTAACTAGTTTTGGAATAACTATTTAAATACATAAAATGTATTTGAAAAACAAAAAAATAATAATAATCATAAAAATACCTTCGCGAATCGACGAAGATTTTGGTGAAAATGAATCATTTTTATTGTTTGATAAATACTTTACATTTTCAGGTTTACTATTAGGTATTGTTTTACTTTCTGTATCATAAGTAAATGGTTTAACTTGAGGAACTAATGGTTGTGATGATTGAGGATTTTTAACATTACGTAAATATTCTTGTTCTTTAGCATCATCAATATCTTCAACATTAACATCATTTATTTCAATTGAACGATCTTTAGGTTTAACACCAGCTAATGCACCTCCTATTTATTATAAATAGAAATAAATTAGAGATAATAACCTGTTGTCAAACAGTTAAGAAATCAGAAATATTAGAAGATATTCGATACTAGAAATGAAAAGCATAATTATTTACTTAAGTTTCATTCTTCTTCAACGAGAAACTATCAAATAAAACTATAAATATCAGTTGCTCATGATTAGTCAGAATTGATTTATTCAAATTTTAACGTACGAACCATTTATGTATATAGAATTCTCTCAAAATAAACTGCTCAATCGAATTCATTAGATTTTATTGAATTTAATACATGTTGTAGAGGAAATAGTTTTTAAGCAATTCGTTTGAAAAACTATTGTTATATACTCGAGATATTTATCAAATGAGTACATTTTGTGTGTGTGTATCATTCATATCTCACAAAAAAATATACCGAATGGGTTTAAAATTTTAACTATATATACTAGGGCTGCACCGCTCACGCTCATGAGCGCTCATATGAGCGTGAGCGTTTTTTCGCTGACGCTCATGCTCACATGAGGGGTGGTCGCTCACGTTCATATGAGCGCACATGAGCGTGAGCGGTACAGCCCTACGCATATGAGCGTGAGCGACCGCCCCTCATGTGAGCATGAGCGTCAGCGAAAAATCGCTCACGGTCATATGAGCGCTCATGAGCGTGAGCGGTACAGCCCTAATATATACATTTCAAGTTGATGAATTTATCATACAAGTAACTACACGATAAAATAGTCATTTTTTAGTATTTTGTGTATATACATATTATATGAACAGATCATGTTCGAAGAATGAAATTCTGAGAATATAGGAATCTCATGAAGTCTTTATAATGATAAAGAATTACGCTCTCTAGATATATTGAAAGTTCTATTGAAAAATATCGAAAACTGACTGTTTTGTCATGTAGTTACTTGTAATGATAAATATATCAATTTGAGATGTATATACAGTTTAAAATTTCAATGTATTTTTGATGAGATATGAATGATATAAAATTGTGGATTATATAATCAAAAAGAAAAAACTGAAAATCATTAAAAATTTTCGCAAAAAAACAAAAAACAGATATCGAATAAAAATCATATCATTTATGAAATATCGAACCTCGATCTATCTTTCAATTAGTTTATGTTCATTTTTATTTTTTCTAACAAAAAAAAAAAATGCCTTTTATCAAAGACAAATATTTTTTTTAATGAGAAAATTAAACATAGTTTAAAATTGATATGTAATTTTTTCTTTTTGGAATCATTTCAAAGAAATATAAGATTCTCATATCTCAATACTTTTTTTTTTTTTGGTTTTCAATAATCTAAATCATCTTGGATAAAATTCTTGATTGTTCATTATTAGAATTCGATAAAATATTTATTGAATGATAATGATCTTCTTCATTTATAGGACAATGTAAAATCGTCTTTATTACTTTCATATCAGAACGAGTTATAAGTACATAAACGAATACCTTTTGAAAATTCTGTTTCTATATTAATATTGTCTGAGTGTTGATCATCACTTGAAGTTATTACATTAGGTAACGATGGTATTGTTTCAATATAATCATTTCCATTGTTTTCTTCAGAAGAATCTAAATAAAAATATTTTAATTGTTTAAAAAAAGAAAAAGAAATTTTCATATTATTTCTTACTTTCTTCTATATATTCATATGGAGATTGTGGTAAAGTTTTTGCAAATGAACTTTTTTTAAATTTTTTTGATTCTAATGGTATTTTATTCTTTTCAAAATATGTATATGTATGTGTATCAACAACATATAACTTTAAATAACGTTTTGATTTTGCTTCAATTAATTTTTTTTCAATATTTTTACTTGATTCTTTATCAACAAATTTATCATTAATTTCAAGTATTCGATCACTTTTACGTAATGTTGTTTTACTAGCTGGTGAATTTGGAGCTACTTCTTGAATATATACACCAATATCATTTTTACCATAAGCAATATTAAAACCAAATGTTTCATCAATTTTATTTAAACGTATTTCACATGTACGTGGTATATTTTTCGGAAAATTTTTGTAATCTAATGGCATATTTTTTGGTGTGTCTAATACTTTAGCAAATCTAGGATTAAATGAAATGCCTTTCTCATTTAATGTATCATAAACACGTTTTTGAATAACAAGTAATTCAAGACGATCATTATTATCTAAAGAAGTTTTCATAAACTTTGATAATTCTTCATATTCATATTCAGATACATCTTCACCATTAACAGCAAGAACAACATCACGAATTTTAAGACCAGTAGCACATGCTGGACTATTCGAATCGACAAGTTGAATATATTGTGGAGGTTGTGTTGAACGGCCAACACTAAAGCCAAGTCCAGTATAGTTAGACCATTTACATATTCGACAAAGACGAAAATTAGCTTTACGTAAATTATCTTCATCAGTTGAGTCTGACATGATAATATATTTTTCTAATTAAATTTAAATATCAATATATATATAGAAATTAAATAAACTAAAAGATTAAATTAGAAATACATATTAATATTTATCTACCAGTAATCTATTCATATAACATGACAGAGATGGACAAAGTCGCATCGCGCCTTCCCGCGCCGTTGCTCACGCCTACGCTACACTAGTCTGAGCTTCGATGAGCGCATGCTTAGAGCATCCCGGTATTCGGTGGAGTTTGAGAAACTGATTGGTAGAGCAAAGAGAAAGAGAGATGTGCGTAGCGCCTAGGCGCGAGCAGTGGCGCGGGGAGGCGCGGTGCGATTTTGTCCATCTCTGTAACATGATGAGTAAAAAAAAAAAAACAAAAAAATTTCGTACTTTATCGTACCTCTAGAAGTTTCAAAAATACTTCAAATCTATTAGTTAAAGTTCATTTTATATAATTTTGTATGGCAATAAAGCTTAAATAATTGGATTTTGTTGTCCAACAGACTTTGATAAAATAAGGTTAAACTAATTTTGTTCGTGACGCATATCTAGTAGTAGATGGAAGTACGAAATTTTCGTTTTTCTTTTAACTTTTTTTTTCTCCTTAATATAGCTACAACTGGCAACAAAGTAAGATGTCTTCTGTTTGTCTCTCTATTAATCGTTTTAAAACCATTGAGTTTCTTTTTTATTCTCTCATTGTATATCTATAAAGCAAACGAACTCGATAAGCATCAAACATACACAGACATATATTCAAGATCATATATATTACATAAAAAAGAGAAAGTGAAGAAACAACATGTCTACATATCTTTATGTTTTAAGAATTCAAGAACAACGAAATATTTCATCCTTTTCTTTTTTTTGTTTTATTCCGTTTAGAAGTATGCAAATTATGACATAGAAGAAAATAAGAAATAATCTTTTTTTTTTCTTTTTGCTCCTCATAAAATATATCAATATTTACAATCACATCAAATAGATATATTTTAATAAAATTTGAAATTTTATTGCATCATATACATAAATAATTAGATATGTCATTCGTCCAGCTTTTCTTTTTTTTTTTTTGTATATACAAAAGTAGATAACTATTATCAATTTAAAGATTAATTTATTATGTAAAAAAAAGAAATCAGAATTGAGCATACTAATTTTACTTACAAACTTCACTGATATTTATCTTTTTCATGCAGGCTTTTTTTTTTTTTGTTAAATGAAGGTCGTCCTTCATCATTCATATATTTATAGATAAGATAACGAAACATAAACAATAGTAAAGTTGATAATGACAATAGAAAAAAAAAAAAGAATATAATTTCATGATCTTCTATTTCTAATCGATGTAAATTTAGAAAAAAAGAAAAAAAGGCAGAACATTTATTTTAATATATAAATATATATCGATATCAATGAGTAAATCTCTGCAATAGATTACGAACAGTTTTGTTTCTATTCTCATCAAAAGTCTTCGATCATAAAGATGATTATACTCAGGTGTATGATCAAAAGAAAGAAAAAAAAGGAGTGCAAAGAACTTTTTTTTTTGAGAACTAAAAAGATGTATATACAATTTTTTTAAAAATAAGGAATTGCTGAATTTTCTTTTTTTTTGTTGAAAAAAAAAATACGATTTAGAATGGAAACAATTAAAAATTTGCCCAAAAGTATAGGGAGATATGCATCTCACTTAGTCACGTCCTTGAATGAATTAGTATTATCATGACTATTATTCACTATTAGATGTTTGTATTTATAATATTAAATAATTTCATATTTATTAAAGATAATTAACTGATATTGATTTAAATACAACAAAGAATTAAGTATATCATACAAGATTATTTAAAGAGCATAAACAGAAACCATTGCGATTTAATCTATTTTATTTCTATTGTCCATTTCAGAGTTAAATGGCCGTGGGCATTTTTTTAAATAAATTTTGATAGGAACAAGATAGAGCTCTATGGTTCGTTGGATAGAGTAGATGAAGACGCATCGAATTATATATAGAAAGAATTTTCTAACTACTTTCCTATAGATTTTACATAAAATTTCAAGAAAAACAGCATGCTGCTCATGGTCCCAATTTTAATTTATTGATTTTCAGGAGTGCTCTAGGAGTCGTCAAAGAAAGGGCTACAAAACTATATCAAGATTCTGTTCCTAACTACTATCAGTATGATATCAAAACCATCAGAACACAATTTACCACCTCATTTTTTTTTCAACAAAATAATTGAAAAATGTAAAATCTTTAGGAAACTTAGTTAGAAAAATCTTTCTATATAAAATTCGGTACATCTTTATCTACTCTTTCCAACGGTGAAAATCGCAGATCTCTATCTCGTTCCTACCAAAAGTTATTCAAAAAATGCCCATGACCATGTAACTCTGAAATATATTTCTCATCATAGTTTTACATCGTCTAAAAATCATTGTAATTCTTTGTTTCCTTCTGCGTTTGATTCAAGAAAAACATGTGAAAATTACTCATTACATGACTTCATATGATTCAACAAATATAAAGAAATAAAAACGAAAAACAAATGAAAACTTAGCTTCGTTCTTCTTCCTCTTCTTTAGAACAACATGCGAAAAGAAAGACTTTTGGATATAATAAGTTAAAACAAAACGTTTATAAAGTCTGTCATAACAATTATAGATGTTTAATTTATTAAAAATCTGTAATATTTTACAAATATCTGGTCATTTCTTATGATATTATTAATATAACATGAATGAAAATATCTTTTCAAACAACATAAAAAGACATTAGAAAAATTTGAATGTTGCTTTTTTTTCTCTTTCACATACATTCATAATATTTTAATTCAATAATTTTCTTATGTTATGCTATTAAAAAATAGATAATGAACTTGATTTTTATATAATAAATTGATATTAGATTATTTAAAAATATACATATGATTATTTTTTATCTAACGCTTTATTTTAAAGTATAAATCTTTTCATATTTATATATACATCATTTGTCAATATAAAATATGCAATAAACAAATAATTATTTATCAAATATCATAAATTATAATTTTTCAACTTATCGACATACATACATATATGTTGTAGGCAAAATTGAGATTCAGGCAAATTTTAAATTTGCCTAGGCAAAATTAGAATGTGACTAGAGATGAATTCATACAATGACGTGCGTTATCAAAAGTAGAATGGAGTAGTAAAAAAGGAGAAAATTGTGTGTCAATCTTGCCACTAAGCACTATAAATATAGATACACACGTTATAATCTGATTAAAAAATGGCTGAATCAGATTCAAAGATAGCTCAACAAAATGATGGTGAATTGATTTACTATACGGAATTAGAAAAATATATTAATTCTTTAAGTACAAAATTTCAAGAAAAAAGTGTTATAAAACAAAGTGTTTATGATGATATCATTAAATGTTTACTATCATCCAAGGACAAACCATTAGGTTTATTTTCTTCAAAATTTGTTTTTTGGATCAAAAAACATTTCATTGCGATCAGTTTTATTGTTTTGATGAGACCATGACGTAAATGAATTACAAAATAATTCAAAAACACTGAATTACAAAATAGTTTACTTTCCATCAGTTTCTACCAGGGTCTACCAGGGTCTACTAGGGCCTACCAGGGTTTCGCGGTACCCACATCGACAGAGATGTGATGTAAGTCGTTTCGCGGCACCCGCAACGAGAGAGATGTGATGTAAGTTGTTTCGCGGCACCCACAACGAGAGGGACGTGATGTAAGTCGTTCCGCGGCACCCACAACGAGTGAGATGTGATGTAAGTTGTTTCGCGGCACCCACCCAGGTCGAAAAGTACCGGCCGGTTCCCGCAAGAAAACACCGGAAATAGCCGGAACATGGAAGCAGTATTCCGGCCGGAAATTTTCGGAATTTTTTCCGCTGATTTTTCGCTCGGTTCCTGCCGGAAAACACAGGAAATTGGCCGGAATTCACCGGAAAAAATCCGGAGAATTTCCGGTCGGACTACTGCTTCCATGTTCCGGCTATTTCCGGTGTTTTCCTGCAGGATACGGTGATTTTTCCCGCATTTTCCTGCCGGTTCCTGCAATATCCGGTGGCCGGAACGATCGACCTGGGCACATCAAGACTTTAGTAAACCCTGGTAGAAACTGATAGAAAGTGAATTATTTTGTAATTCATTTTTTTTGAATTACTTTGTAATTCATTTACGTCATTCACTGGTTTTGATTGTATGAATTTATCTCTAGTCACATTCTAATTTTGCCTAGGCAAATTTAAAATTTGCCTGAATCTCAATTTTGCCTACAACATATATATATTATTTGAATTCATATTGAGTTCTATGAGTCTTTAGCATTGAATTATGATTGTTATACTGAATTTTCGACAAAATCAAGTAATGGAATTTTAACATAGAATTTTATTTATAACAATTTTAACTCGATTTCAAAGAATACTTGTCGACGAATATTTTAATCTTTTCTATCTCTTATCAAGATCTTCTCATAAGTTTAAACATGACTTCAAACGATTAGTATCAGTTCAGATGGTTTCTTTATTATTAAATTTTTTCATGATATAATAAAACTTCATTGGATAAATGAAAACAAAATTCTTTTATTCAAATTTAATATTACGTTGAAGAAATAAATCTTTTAAAATAGTATCCATTTGAATATTATGTCCAAATAATTGACATGCTATTTTTGATGACCATTGAAAATATTCTTCAACACGTTGTTTAGACCAACCAACAGGTATAGCACGATTTATATCTCGTAGATTAGATATTTTATCGGCAAGACGAACAAGAATAGCATCTGAACTTAATTTACTAGCATCAGCAATTTGTAAACGTTTACGTTCAGCTTTTGGTAAATTTTTATCATCAGTTAATTCAGCTACAATACCTATTATAAAATAGTTTAAATAAATATAATTTTTTGATAAATTAATCTAATAGAAATTTAATTAAAAGAAAATAATTGTTTCCTTTTCAAATGAAGATATGGATTTTTCCATCAAAAAAAATACTTTCATATTTGTAATTAGACAAAAACAAAAAAACAAGTAAAGTATTTAGCAAATAATTACTCATGAGATATTCTAATAAATTATTGATTGATCATGCTATCAAAACAAAAAACGAAATTTCTAATTTTAAATAAATACAATTTTCTCAATGAAAAATATCTTATATGATCAAATTATGAAGTTTTTATTATTAGAAAATTATTCATAAAATATACCAGCAATACGAGGTCCAAATTCTTGTTGAAGTTCATCAAATGTTGTTTCTGTATCTTCAATTGTATCATGTAAAAGTGCAGCCTGAAAAGATAGAATTTTGTCATCAAAAGAAATCTCTATTCAAAAATATCTCTACAGCAAGTAAATCATAATCTTTGATACCAGCTTCATTACTTAAAATATGTGCAACACCTATCGGATGATTAATATAAGGTGTTCGATCTTGATCTTTTCGTTTTTGAAATCGATGTTTATAAGCAGCAAATTGAAGTGCATTCATAAATTTTTCCATATCTATTAAAAGAATATTGAATTATTTTCTTATATCATATGAATCAATATAGAAGATGACCCATGTCGCCTCTTTTTTATCAACTACATCACAGTTGCGCGTAACTGCGCCGCACTAATCGCAGTGAAAATCTCTATTAGAAACTATGGTTACTGCGTTGCAGTAATCACATTGTACAATCCGCTGTAACTAGCGCCAACCCATCATAGATCACTCCTCCGTATTTGTAATTGGTCACACTCCAGCTGTAAAACTTAGCCAGAGAAAGACACTATAAAAGGCAGTGTACATGACACTTCGACTCAATACTCATTCAACCACAAAAGGTAGAATATATAATTCACAAATAATTTTTCTAATTTTTTTAACTTTTTTTTTAATTCTCAATAAAGATATTAATAAAATGAAAATCTCATGTATGGCATCTCTTTTAGCAATTGCGACACAGTTGCGCCGCAACTACGATTGCACTGTGACCCGCCATTGCGAAAAACTATGACGCAGTTACGCGCAACTGCGTCGATATTTTCCGCAATGGCGGGTCACAGTACGATCGCAATTGCGCGCAATCGAATACATGGGGGGACACAACAAACAAATAAATCTTTTTTTTTTCTTGTTCTATTTATTAAATCAAAAAAAACAAACATATGTATATATATTATCTATTTAATACATACAAAATATAAAAAGAAAATGAATAAATTAATTATAAATATGCCAGTATCACGAATAAAATAAGGAAATAATCAATTGAAGAGATTTGTTTGAAGATCAATTAAAAATAAACAAATAATCTTCATGTATATACTGAGTATGATAAAAGTTTGACAATATTTTTTGTTTTGCAAATAACTTTATTAAATTTTGATTGTTCTTTTTTTAAAAAGTTATATTCTATATAGTTATTTTCTACAAAATAAATAGAAAACCGAATATTGTTCAATTTTAATTTTCGTTGTAAATGTTTAGAATCACTCATAGACTTAGTATAACACCTGCAGTAAAGCATGAAGATTATTACTATAACATCTATTTTCATTAATCTAAATACTCTCTACCTGAAAGAAAATGTTTTCATTTTTTTTTTACTGTGTTGTCTTCAAATATATATATATATTAAGTTCGATGTATAAATTGCTAGATTAAACTTTTTCGATTGTTGAAGGACATCATAGAAAAAAAAAAGCATTAAGTTTAACAAAATTATATCATGAGAATTTAGATTCAAGTGAAAATGAGAAAAAAATATATTGAGAAGAAAACAGTAGTGATTTTTGATTTGATTAAAAATATAAACTTTTTCTTATGAAAACTAACATCATGACATATACATATGTATTATCAATAATCTATTAAAATTAACTATAGAAATTTTAATAATTAACATTTTTAATTGAATTATATGTAAAACAAAGAATATTGTAAAATATTTTTTATCACACACGATATATAATAATGTTTTATTGTTCTTCATCTAATGTTTTTTCAGGAAGTTCTGTTATTGTATTTATTGAATATTGTGTCACTGTACCAAAACCAACATGTAATTTTTTATCATTTCCAAATGTACTATTATGATTATCAACAGAATGAACACTAAAACGATTTTTTCCTACGAAAAATACAAATATTATTAGATGAAGTATTAAAAAAAAATTAGATAATTAACCATGTGAAATATGCTTTGATAATGAATTACGTTTATCATTGTTGTCTGTTTTGTCTTTATTATTAGTAGAATCAAGTGAAGTAGGTGTATAACATTTTAATGTTGAATCAGTAATTTTACCAATAAAATCATCAAGAATTTTATAATTTAAATTTGTATTTAATGTTTCTAATGGAGTAACAACAGCAGTTTCAGAACATATCACTAAAATAAATAATTTCACTAATACAACATTCAATATTATAAAAATTGTAACTGTTTAATGTAGAGCAAACATTTTCTATACTGGAAAATAGGTAGAACAAATATATCCCATCGTCCTCAAAGGGTTAAGAGCAATTTTTTAGTGATTCTAGTTTAGACTTCTTTTCAGACGGAAGTCTTCCATGATTTATTCGTTCACTACCGGAGCAGAGAGATTTCGCCACTGAAACTACGTAGTTTAAGGCTGTGGATGCCCAGCTCAAACAAGCACGGTTGTAAACGATCGTATACGGAGAAATACGGTCGTTTACGATCGCATAGGGCCTCCGTATTCGTCGACCTGAGTGCAGTTGCGGATATTCGTTCTGTTACTTCTCGTATTTCACCCACACTCTATACAATTTCTCTTTACTAACGAGGGAACATACTCAAGTGATTCGCTCTGTTTTGATTCATTCGTAAGTGATTCGATAGAGTATATTGAGATAAGAAATAGCCTAAAAGAATTCGTGCCCATGGTCTAGTAGTGAGGAGTTATGACCGTTTTACTGTGAGCCAGGCATTACGGAAAAAATCAAAATGAAACATTTCGAGCTGAAATTCTATATATAGATAGATTTAATAGTCATTATATAATCCTGAAAGTTTCAACGAAAACGAACATGTCTTTCTCGAGTTATTCAACTTAAAAAAAAAACTGTTTACCATAGAAGGACACAATAACCCAGTTTAGTTGAAAATTGAATATCTTGATAAAGACATATTCATTTTGTTGAAACTTTCAGAACTATATAATGACTATTAAATCTATCTATATATAGAATTTCAGCTCGAAATGTTTCATTTTGATTTTTTCCGTAATGCCTGGCTCACAGTAAAACGACCATAATTCCTCACTACTAGGCCATGGGCACGAATCCTTTTAGACTATTTCTTATCTCAATATACTCTATCGAATCACTTGGGAATGTTCTCTCGTAAGATACTTTTTTGAGATCTTTCTTCATTCAAAATAATCTAATTAAAAAATATGAATTTGTAACTGAAAGTTATACATACATCCAGCTTGTTTACGCGCAAGTAATCTATTAAGATCAGGTGTTGATTTTGCACCGGTAATTACTTTTGTACTAAAAATACTTGTTAATGGAACATAATTATCTAGAAATAATAATCAACAAATATATTAAATTTTTTAATAAATAAACAAAAAGAAAACATACAAATATGTTTATCGGCTGATGCACCATGAACTGTATTATAATAACTATGGGATCTTGTTGTCTCTAAAAAATTTATAAAAAAAAAAAAGAAACGTACAATACAATTTATTCAATACAATATGTTTTATATTATAATCAACAAAATTTGAATAATAAAAACTAACAAGCAATGCTTCGATAAATGAGCAAAAAAAAACAAAGAAAAAGAGTAATCATTAATTTAAGTGATTAATATAAATATATATATATGTATATATATGTGTGTATCAGTTATTAAATGCGTAGATATATGTATATAATAATATGATTATGAAAACTAGGTGAAAAACACAATTCAATCTGTATAAACTCATGAATGTATACTAATGATTATACCCGAAATTCGACGTGAAATATCCCAACTCGCTGGTAAACTCGATCGTAATCTTGTTGAATAAAAACCAGGTATTGTACTTGATTTTTTGGGATATTTCATAGAGAATACATTAAATGATTCAGTCTGATGTGATGTTATGTCTAGAAGAAGGAATATTAAGCAACAAACTCATAATTAGTAAATAATGTTATTCTCAATAAAAAAAAAAAACAAACACTAGAAGATAGAAGAAGGAAATATGAGCATCCAAATATAGAACTACATCATTTATCTCGCACCTAAGAGACGACGATAGAAAATTTTTCCTTTATGAAAAAGTAATAAAAAAAAATATATATATATTTTACCATATAATAATAGATTTCTATGAAATATAATTTAATAAACTTACGCTGTAAATCTGGTTCATCATCTTCAAGTGATTTAGGTTTTGTAAGATATTTATTATTTGTATTATTGGAATCTATTTAAAAAACAAAATAAAATAAAATTTAATATCAAATTTTTCTTTTTTTATCAATCAAACATACGTGGAATTTCATTAGAATTTATATCACTAGAATTAGTTGGTTCTGATGATCGACTTGTTGTCATTGTACTATTACTTCGATAAATTGTTCTCGATGAAAATGATCGTTGTTTAACAAGTTTTTGATGTAATTTATCAGCATGTATTGATCGTTTAGGACTACTATTAATATTAGTTAATGTTGATTCTGGAACTATTTGAGCTGATGATGATGTTGTTGTTGTTGTTGTTTCTAATTCAGACTGTGGTACTAATGATGATATATTTGATTTATCTGATGTTGATGATGAAATTGATATTGGCATTTCAATTTGATGTCTTGGTGGACTATGTGCTGCTTGTCGATTACTTTTTGGTAAAACAGTACGAATAGGATTAATATTTTCACTAACTGAATCAATCTAGAAAAAAAAAAAGATTTTTTTGTTTTTTAATTAAAATAATTAAATTATAATTTACTTCTGGTAATACATCAAAACATCCATAAGCACCAGGTGAAAAATGTAATTCAACATGAAAACGTTTTTCAGAATCTTCTTCTTCACTTGAATCTTCATATAACATAATAACAATTTGTGTTAAATAATTTAATTCAGAAACTGTATCTAAATATTCCATTGAACGTTTCCATTGTTCATCATCGGATATCTAAAAAACAAAAAAAAAGAAATGAAAATTTTTATTATTTAAAATTTTTTTGTTTTTTTTTACATCTAATAAACCACCATAACGAATTGCTGTAAGAAGTGAATGAACATGTGATTCACTAGTAAAATATAATCGTGTACGAACATGTCGACCAGGAGTTTGAATACCTTTTGAATAACTAAAAAGAAAAATAATATATCAAATATTGTACATATTTGCATACGATTGACAATATAAATTTTTTTTAGAGTTTATATATACTTTTCTTTTTATCTTTAAATATGAATGCAATCCTTTTGTTTTCATTATGAAAAGAAGAATAGAAATATAAAGCAGTAAGGAAAAGAATATAGCATAGACCAGAGATGTCCATCGCGGTTGAAAACTGACCGCTGCCGCGCCGCGACGATAAAAGAAAAAAGCTAACGCGCCGCTACCGCACCGCTGCCGCGATGCCACCAAAAATAACCATGCCGCGATCACGCCGCTGCCGTGATGATTGTTAGAATAATGTTGTAAATTTTACGATCTGTGACTGTTCAGGACTTAAGCTGTTGTTACCAATCGATAAGATTCGTTGAATCTTATAGTTTTGCACTTGCAAACATTGAAATTCTGTTCGAATTCATGCATTTTTGCATTGTTCTCCAAAAAAACCTACCCCTGCCGCGCCGCTGCCGCGATAGTTAGTTAAAAAACGACCGCTGCCGCGCCGTACCGCGATGGTTATTTGAAAAAAACAACCGCTACCGCCACAGCGGCAGCGGTCGCGCCGCGATGGACATCTCTGACATAGACTAAGTTATATTTGATTTGATTTGAATCGAGTTAATTCAAATACGTATGATATGATAATTTAATAGAAATCTATTTTAATTATCATTTGATTTAGTTTTTTTTTTGTACAATAAATAAACTTATTTTTGCTTACCTGGGATCTAATTTATTAACATGTTCATCATGAGTTATAACACCGGTTAAATTACATTGAAGATCTAGAAAATAGAAAAAAAAGAAATTTTTTATGTTTTTTTTTTGAAATCAAAGATTTGTTTCAATTTTATGAATATGAATTCTTTTGATGGTAATCTAAGAATAATTTAAAACTTTGTATTTACCAGCACGAATTTTTCGAAGTAAGGGTGTAACCATTCCACGAGCTATGCTTAGTTTTTCATCAACTGTCATACCATATTCCTAAAATATTTATTTACAAAAAAAAAACAATTTGAAATTTAAATTATATTAAATATATCTTACTTGAGGTACAACAATATCAGCTAATGCTTTAGAACATACATATAAATCTTCAGCATATGGAAATTGAAGAATATCTTTATTATGAAGTAAATCATATTTTATTGAATCATATATATCAGGTACTTTTGATATATTAAATTTATCTTTTCGTGTATCATAAAATTCTTTTCCTAATTTTAACCCTAAAAAAAATATAAATTAAATCATATATAACAAGAAAATAATGATTAATTATTAATAAATATACATCGTCTCAAACATAAATCCCATGTTTCAGATTCAAAAAGTCGATCTAAAATATAAAATTCGAATTTTTATATTAATGTATCAAAATGAAAAATATTATCACTAATACTTGAACTATCTTGAAGTGAACGTGTTTGAATGAGTACAGTCATTTCATGAATATATTCATATATTTTTCGACATACAGTAACTGGATTTTTAATAAAATCCATTGATGAAACTAAAGAACGAGAGCGAGTCGGTGCAATCTATTAAAAAAAAAACAAAAACATTTTTTTAATCTTTTTTTATTTTATTTTACTAACTGTATCATAATCTTCTTGTGTAAATTGTCGATCTTTTGCTAAAAGATCATGTAATGTTTGTTTAACTTTTTGTTGTTCTTTTGTTGAATCAACATCATTATCAAGTAAACCATTTGTATTTGCACTTTTAACCATTTGTACAAGTATTGGTGCTAATTCACCATCAAGTGCTAATAAACCTTTAGCAAAAGCAGCAGCTGTCATTTGTACACGACCTTCATCTGATGCATAAATTTTTAAATCATGTCGAAATGTGGAATGTAAACGAAGAAGACCAACATCAGGTCGATCACCTATAGCACCTTGACCACCGGGATACATTTTACGAAATGCCTTTTATAGAAGTAAATTCAATTTAGAAAAATACAAAAAAAACTGGGGTTTTTTTTTTACTTTGCCAAGTTCTTCAGCTTGATTTTTTCCTGTTTGAGTTAGTTGTCCACCCCATTTAACTACTAAGAGTAAGGATGGTTGTGATGGTACACTATTAGATTCTGAATAGAAAATAAAAAAAAAAACAGTTTTTTTTTTTCTTATCAATAATCTTTTTTTCATTTACCATCTTCACTACTAGTTTTTTTTGGTAGACCTTTTGGTAAATATTTTAATTGAATTTTTCGATTAATACCAGAAAAATGTCCATATAATTCTAATACTTGTTTAAGTTGAAGTAATTTTCCTCTTGTTTCAGGTAAATTAGGAAATCGCTAAAACAAAAAAAACCCAAAGATTCTTTGTTTTCTGTTTTGTATATTTTTAATTTTACATTTATTCGATTATCATCAAGTTCTTTGAGTAATTTTCGAGCTATATCAAGTACTTCCTATAAATAAAAATTTTGAATACATAAAAAAAATAAATAACAAATATAAAACAAACTTGAAGTTGACCAGGATGTTTTAATTTCAAATGACCTGATTTTGGACCATGATATTTTTCGAATAATTGAAAAAATCTTTTAAATAAAATATAAAAATCATTAAAAAAAAAATCAAAGATAAAATATTTATTATATTACAATGGATGTAAAACAGCCATTTTCATTTTTTGTTTTGGTGTTCGATCACCATGTCGAATAACAGCAATAACACAACGAAGTTCCATTCTTGTACCCAATGCAGTTGGTACAAATGGTGGATCATCAGGTTGATAAGCTATTGGATATGGAATAGAAAATGTTGGTGCAAGTTCACGCATTATCATATGTCTTGAAAATTCAAAAAAAAAAAAAAAGACATTTTTTTTTTTTAAGATTTTTGTTTTTTTAAAATACCCAAGAATTGATGCACAATCATCATAATATTTAGTACTATTTTTAACAAAACTAAAACCATTTACATCACATACAAATGATTTTCCTTCAACACGAAGTAAATCAAAGCCACATACAGCTTGCTAAAAAAAAAAAGAATAATAATAAAAATGTTTTTTTTTTTTTTTTCTTTATTAAGACTAATTTACTTTAAATGCTAAACATATTTTCATTGCAATTAATTTTTCATCAGCACGTAATATAACTGGATAACGTACTTCTTTACCAAATTCATCTCGTTCAACTTTACCATCAAGCCCAGGTGATTTTCTTGCTTCAGCATGTGCATATTCAGCACCAACAGTATATACCTAGAAGAAAAAAAAAAAATAATTATTTGTATTAATTAATTCAAAAAAAAAAAAAGATATACTTTAACATCTGTACCATCTGTTGGCATAAATTCTTCATAAATATATGAACCATCTTTACGAATACTATTTTCTGATGTGTATACACTACTTCGACTACCAATCTAAAGAAAATTTTTTTTTTTAAATAGAAAAAAATGAAAAACTAGCGAAATAAAAAGCCATAAATAGCATAAATTAACAGCAAAATAATAGCATAATTCTTTTTTTATTTATTTATTCTCAATTTACTGTATATTGATTTATTGAAGTGATACCAATAGATATTGTCTGTTGAATAAATTTATCCTAAGTTTCTTAAAGAATATTTTATAAATAAATAATTTATGTCAATTATGTAAATTTTCGTATCAATGTAATATATTAAAATCAAGTCAATAAAAGAAAAATTTCATTAAATTAGTTAATTATTGAATCCGAAATGTCATGATAAACATTGAAACGATTATAGACACAATTATTTTTATTTTTTCTTTCCTTTTTTTTTCAACTGTTCTATAAAATTTTTTTCGTTCTGTTGACCTAATTCTTTTAACCTACCTATTTTGTAAATAAGAATATTCATTGTTTTAATACTTGTTATTATTCATTATTAAAAACATAGTGAACGAAGTTTCTCTAATTATGACCTTTATTTATACTTATATATTAAATATATAGAATTTTTCAACTAAAAACAATATATTTCGTGTTTAGAAAATTTGACATATTTCTAATTATAGAAAAAACTATATAAAAAGACGAAAGAAAAGCTTATAACAGATGTAAGAATATCAAAATGTCCTGATCGTCAATGTCATGCAAATATTTATATCTGCTATATCATGCAAATGGCAATAAGGTAACCATTTATGAAACGGAAGCTGAACACGAACATCATAAAAGTGCAATTTATGGTATTGCTAAAAACGACATAGAAGATAGAAAAACCAAAACTTAGGTCTTCAAGTAGTTTAATCAAGAAAAATAAAAGTGTCAACATTAGCACAAAATAAACCATCATCTTGTCTATTATAGCAAAAAACAAAAGAATTTCGTATGTTTTTTGTTCAATATCGTATTTATTTTACAAAATAACACATGCAGTCATTATTTATTAATTATCCATGTCGTCTTGTTTTTTTTGTTTTTAAGCAACTATAACGCAGTTACGCATAACTGCGTCGTGATTTTTCCGCACTTATGAGTAACAATACGATTGCAGTTACTGTGTAATTGCGTCGTAATTGAAAATAACGATAGTATAGCAAGATGTTTCAATACTAGTTATTATAATAACTGATTTGAATATAACATTATTTCATTGATGTGATCTAATAATCTATTCAAATGAAAAGACAATAGGTTTTCAATTTTATTTTAAGTTATGAGCATGATTATTCATTTAAAATATTGTAAATCATCAACAGAAAAAAAACTATATTTAATTTACAAATGCAATAATTAGGTTACATTTAATAAACTGATCAATTCATCTATATTACTGACCACTTATACGATAACTATAGAATTTCAAGAAATTGAGATATTATTTATGTTTTGTTTTTCGAATATTTAGTTTTTTGTTTTAAATACCTTTCGAAATAATCTTTGTGAACCACCACCAGCTGATGATGGAAAATAAATATAAACATCATGATTTTCAGCTGATACAGGTTTTTCTACAAATGGTTTATGAAATATTTCATTATCAATTTCAATTTGATCATCTTGTTCATTAACAACAGATAATGTTTTCCATGTTCCATCTAATAAAAATAAGATTTTTATTATAGAAATTAATTAATAATAATAAAAATATTTATTTACCAGCATCCATTGTTCGTCGAACTATACCATAACGTGGTTGTGCTATTCCAGCATCTTTAAGTATTTCATGTACTTTAATACGATCCATTATATCCCATTGTTTATCAAGATCATTAATAAGAAATGGTTGATGAAGACGTGCATATTGTTGAGTTTTAGCTAATGGAAAACCTTTACTATGAAAACTAATTAAAACATGACAAAATGGCCAATCTTCAATAGGACTTTCATGTATCATTTTTTCAGAAAAAATTATTATACGAATAAATTCAAATTGTTCTAAACGATGTAAAATTTCTTCCATAGGTTTTGCTTTGACTTTTTTCCATTGTGCACATATACCAACAGTTATAAAACGACGATCCTCCTTATAACAAAAAAAAATATATTGACTTTATCTTTTTCGTCATAAGTAAATAAATAATATAACTACCTCATTGTCATCGAAGTCATTCTGGTCGTCAGACATATCATCATTTTCATCACCATTTAAAGAATCACCATATTCATCTTGTCTTATATAACTATGCTCACTCATTTTTCTTTATTGTTATTATTATTATTAGTCCATCAACGAGACAAAAAAAAAATTACTATCAAGATTGATTAATATTTTATTCGGTCAATTAATAAAGTTTTCTCATTGTGTATTGGCTCCTTTAACAAACCTATACGTATATTATTAACGCCCTCTGTCATTGTTTTATTTTTGCGTCACTATATGTTGGATTAAATCGATCAGGATCATCACATGTTAACTGTATATTTGGAGAACCTGTTAGACTAAATTTGATTGATTGTTTTGTATCACCTATATCATCACCGCATGAACATCGACAATTAAGTTTATATTCAGGTGATACAATCTAAATGAAAGATTATATCAATATTGATTTTTGTAATTGAATGAAACTTACGAGGGAATGTTTTCAACTGTCAAATCTCTTTTGAGTTCAGACTGTATATAAAGTAGACCCCCTTAGGGTGTGGAAAAACCCCCAAAGCATAAGTGCTCATAGGCCTTCTGTCCAGAGTTAAATGCATTTTACTGTAATTTTAGCCTGTGGCATGGTATATACCAAAAAATGGAATGACGATGTTTCGAGCTGAGATTTAACCCACAGACAGGTCTATTGCTGAGTAAAATATTCTGAAAATTTTAGTTCGAAATAATGTTTCCTTCCCGAAATATTGAAGTCCCAAGAATCACTCATATCCTATCAACGATACTAAAATATTCGGTTTTTTGAGACTCTAATATCTCTGGAAGAAAACATTTTTTCGAACTGAAATTTTCAGGACATTTTACTCAGCAATAGGCCTATCTATGGGTTAAATCTCAGCTCGTAATATCGTCATTTGATTTTTTGGTATATACCATGCCATAAGCTAAAATTACAGTAAAATGCATTTAACTCTGGATAGAAGACCTATGAGCACTTATTCCTTTAGGATTTTTTCATATCCCAAGGCAGTCTACTTTATACACAGAGTCTGAATTCAAAAGCGATTGAACAGTTGAAAACGTGTCCTCGTCAATCAATGTTTAACAGCTAATAGTTAAGAAATCATGAAAATTCAATCGTTTTTATTATGAAATTCGACTGATTGATGATATAAAAAGATCAAGTATAATTTAGATATGAATTGATGATTTGTTCTACTTTAGTTTTTTAGTCTTGATGATTATCTACTAGTAAAGATTCAAAGATGGTGCCCAGCAGAGATATAACGGTTCGTGTTTTGTCCGAATCCAACTGAATCAAAACTAATAGGCTTGTTAGTAAATATCTTAGAGAATCGAATTTAGATGGGATTAATTCGCATTTTCTTCGAACCGAAATAGTAATACAACGGTAACGATGAGAATTTTCTATGGAACATTCAAGACTGATACATCGATCTTGGATAGCAGTGGTGATTATTTCCAACATATTATCTCAAAATCGAGTCGCATTGAATCTGTCATTAGAAAGCATGCACGGAGTGAATTTAAGTTCGATTTGACATGAAATTAAACCGATGCGTTGTCGAATTTTTTAGATAACGTTTGATACAAATTTAAAAGAAAGTTAAACATTAGATTATAGATGTATGATGAACTGAAAATGCCCGATTTTCAAAGAAAAAACACTGACAATCGATTAGAATGTGATTAACGAATTATACGGTGTGAAACTTAGACAAACTATCAAATAAAAAAAAAAAAAAGTATTTTTATTTCTTATTACTAGAGAATATAAGAGAGTTAAATTTAATATGAAATATTGTTCAAATTTTATCGATAATCTATCATACCAATATTTAATGCCAAATAAAATCACAGATCGAACAGATTTCGTTGAATATTTAAGTTCACTTACCATTTCATATAAATCTTGTAATACATTAATACCTTGAAAATCATAATTAACTACTTTTTTTGTTGTATCACAACAACAATCACAATCAAGAAATTCTAATTGAAATTTATCTTTAATATAAACATGTGATTGTGTTGATTCACAATTCAATTTTTCTTTATTGATATTTGAATTATTTATAGGTACATTATCACTAATTAAAGACATACTATTGCTATTAGTTTTTATACTATTTGATGAACTATCAATATCATTACAACTAACATTTGAACCCATATAATATGAATAATAAAGAAATAAACAATGATATAATTATCAAAACAACAAAATATTCAATGAGAAAAAAAAAACAATAAAAGCGCTAGAGAAATATCAATATAAAATCAAACATTAAAGATTATTATCAGATATATTCAGATTTTGAAGATAAAAATTCATTTAATTCTATTAAGATTTCATTTTCTTGTCATCGTCGTCGAGATACAATTAATTTCATTGTTGAACTTATATCTTTATTATTATTATTATTATTTGATGAATCATCATTAATATGTCGTATGTCAATTACTTGAGATGAAGATGATGATCGTCTACTAGTCATACTTAAAATAATTAAAAGAATAATAATACCTATTGTAATAACTCCAAATATAACATATCGTAAACGTCGCCATAAAATATCACGTTCTTGAGTTTTACGATAATTAGTAATACCTATCAATAGAACAAAAATCTTCTATAATCATTAATGTACTATACTGTTTATTACGAACAAATCTGATATTGGTAAGTCATGAATTACTCTCGGTACTGATTTGCTTAATATTTCGCATATATATATATGGAATTTCACTCTAAGAAAAGATCTGACAGGATGTAGGTTAATGCAACTTCATTTTGTCGAGATATGAATGCTTCTACTGATGTATTAGGGGACTTAAATCTTTGCCTTAGAGGATCTCAGGCATTATCAATATTCTCTATGAACTTCATTACTTCGAAAAAGTTAAACTTTCTAATTGACCCAGGTCGACGATTATAAATTTCGTATACGACCTGGACAGCTAACAATTCGTTATATACCGTAGTATTTCAGCTATGCATAGATGAAGCTCATCAATCTTCATTGACATTGTGAATTTCTTTGTGATAATAGATTTAAAAATGAAACCCGTTTGAAATACTTTTTTGCAATGAGAATGAAATCATTAATTCAGACTGATTTTCTTTATGATATCGAAAACTTAATTGTTTTTTTTTTCATTATTTCAAAATTCTATAAAAATTTTTACCAAATACAAGATTTTCATTTTTGCTAAGCATTTCTTCTGATCTATATTGTAATTCATCGAGTTGTTCATGTCTTAAATTTGCATGTTCAAGTGCTTGTCGAAGATTATTATCTGTTTGATCAATAATTTTATGTATAGCATTTAAATCTTGTTGACTTTTTTGTATATTTTTATGATTATTAAATTCTACAGATGTTTTAATATTCAATGATGATGATGATGATGATACTTTTTTTATTGATGAATTATTATTTTCTTTTGTTATTGAATTTATTAAAATTTTATGATTTTGATTATTTACAATCATTGATACTGATCGATTAGATTTTAATAATAATTCATTAAATGTTTTTCTTCATAGATAGAAAAAGATCTAATAAAGCTTCTTTTTTTTTTTTTAAGTTAAAACAAAATTTTATGGATGAAGGATAATGCGCGTAATCTGTTCGACAGTTTGACTGTCTTTATTTTTTATTTATTTATTTATTTCTGAGCAGCACGAAATGACCATTGATAACGTAATCGTTGTCGTGATCGTAATCGAACATGACAACATAATGTTTCAATAATAGCTTGACGAAAATTACGTGAACTATATACATATAAAAATGGATTTAATAATGAATTAACATAACCAAACCAAAATACAATACATTGAAGTATATTTGGAAATTTATTTGGATAAATAATTGATGTTGGATAAGATATTGTAAATGGAAGCCAACAAATAAGAAAAACAGCAAGTAAAATACCTAGGAAAGAAAAAAAAACTTCTAATTTAAAATATTCTGTTTTTTCAATATAAACATATGAATAACTTTTGTTATGTAAAGTTACACAAGGACTAAATTCTAATCGTTTAATCTTTTGTTTTATTAAATCTTATTCGACTATAGATAATTAATATTAATAAATAGAACTCCAGAGACTCGTTTTTTCTGGGAAAACCAATTCTCGAAACCGAAAAAAAAAATTTCTTATCAAAAAAGTTTTTTTTTTTTTTTTTCCATTTGAAAATTATTATTGAGATTATCAAAAAAACATAAATCTTTGTTTTTCCTTTTTGACTTTGATAGAAAATTTAATCATCTTATTTTTATAAAAGAAATATGTTACTAGCACTTAAAGTACATGCATACAATTCGAGAAGTTTTCCATGTCTAATCTATGAGATTTAATGAAAAATAAGAGATTATCGCTCATTAATTTCAAAAGAATAACATCATAAAATTATTCAGAAAGAACATATGAAATTGAAAAACTTCTTGAAATAAATAGTAGACATAGTTTACAAGTCATATGCTTATCTAGACTTCATTATAAAAGCATAGTCATTAAACAAGTAATTATTCAATTATTGAAAAATCTGCTGTCTCTAGATTTTACTCAAATTGATCAAAAAAAAAGTGTTTTATAGTAAACTCAACGTGTTTCTACATAATCTCGATGAATCAAAAATATTTTTTTTTTTGTTAGAAAAAAACTGATTTTTCAGAAAGTGAATTTTTTGAAGTTCTAAGTACCAATCTCGTCTATTAATGTTTACAATCAGCATAGTCAAGCAACTAGATTCTGCGAAAAAAAAAGTGATCAAAATATTAGAAGCTTTCCCTTGTTAATATGACATTTATCTCTGACAAAAAGTTTTAGACGACTTTTGAATTACATCAATTATCATAATTAAAAAGAAAACTTATATTATAAAACATTTTTTTCTTTCTTTTATATTCATACCAAGCATTCGACTTGCTTTTTGATTTCGTCGTAAACATGCTTTATGTCTTTCATGCATAAATTGTGCTATAGCACGTTGACTATAACGATTTGAATGACGTGTTTTAGATAAACATAATGGTTGAGTACGATGATTTAAACGACGATGTTCATCATTGATAGTATTATCAAATGATGAATCATGTCTTAATATATCTACTGTTTTAAAAATACCATTAACATTACAATCAATAGATGATGGTAAATGTGATTGACTACGTTCTCTTGATAAAGAATTTAGACGTAAATTATTTTCATATTGATGAT